TCGTAGTGCAGTCTCGTGCTCTCACCCCATACATCGTCATGCCTGTTTGAAGTAAGACGTGTTTTTGATAACAGGTACCTAAAACACGTGCAGGAGCAGTTTTATCATGTATCACAAGCGGGGACGCATCTCAGGAAATCTCCGGTAATCAGCTCACTGTCGCATTGTCGCTGAGTGTTCGTGGCATAGCAGCACGGGACTAGGTAATCGCACTGACTGCAAACACCGAACCAGTTGAACCTCACCACCTACACTGCATCAACTGCACCGCATCCTAAGGATACTACATCTGCTGTACCGGACCACCTATATCGGATCACATGCATCAGACGTTATACCGCTCCATTCATACTGCATCAACTTTCTCAGACTAACTTCAGAACCAGCTGCACCGAACCAACTTTAACACACACTGATATACCATGTCAAATAAAACATTTCTTCAATTAAGCCGTGCAAGCTAAGCCATTCCATCGATGTTTTCATGCTAACGTTCTTAGACAGTAACCTTTTCTGGTACCAAATCTGAAAGAGGTAGGAATCTGGATGAGCAGGTGCGGAAACGATAGCTTTGTCATGTCTAAAAAAACGCCAGTAAATTTTATCCCGGAAACGCTTTGTTTCGCATCATTCACCAACTGATCATTTTGCGCGTGCGGACTCGATTCCATAGGTCCAAATTATAATAGATATGAAACAGCAGATAGGTACATGGTCATGAAACGAAAACGCCTTCTTTTTTTGCTCTTTTTTGCGATTTCTCGTGCATTTCAGATTGGTGCAAAATTGGGTCCCTGTTAAAAAAGTGTGAAAAAGGCCGGAGCGTACCAAACAGATCGGCTGATGTACTGCAGTGTACCAATTAAGCAGAGCAGCTACGTCGGGCTAGTTACTTCTGAATAGCTATCCCGGACCAACCATCCCATCCGTTGTTTAAAAAAAGGCCGAAACAACTGTGCCAGCCCAACTGTGAATGCACTGCATCCACGGTATTAGAGACAACTGTACCAGCCAAACCGGCCCGACGGACTTCATAGGGCCTTAGGCGCCCAAAGTTTACAGCATCACGGTGAGAAGCGGCAGCGCGTGACAAGTGCCGTTTAGTTTCACAATTGTTTCGAAACATGACACTGTTTGGCACCGTCAGCTGTTTGCTGCTCTTTGCTTTCCCTTCAAGTTGGGCTGCAACGGTAGCAAAGCGCATCGTCCAGTTATGTCGCCGCAGATTTCTCTTTCCCCCAGTGAAGAAAAATTAGAACAACGCGTCCAGTGCCATCTCACAAAGGCGTACATCCTGCGTTGTTTTCGAGCCTGAGCTCATTTGCGGCATTGGTGAGCCGAGTAGACCCGTGGCGAGGGAACAATAGCTGCTTGAGCTCGTGCTGGCTGACACGCGGTCCATGTCAGTGCTGAGCTAGCTCTCACCAACGACGTGTCGGCATTTCAGCCCCGAATGTGAACCAGGTGGTAAACCCAGACACCAGTCACCACGGTCAGAATAAATCAAGTACTAAAGCGTTTTGCTGGGCCGAGGATCCATGAATGAAAGAAGAGTTTTCAGCTTTTTACGTCGTTTTTTTGCATTTTAAATTTTCATTTTCATAAGAATCGACCTTTGATATGCAGATGGGTACAAGACAATCGCCAAGCGGTCATCGAACATACCTGACGTTTGCAGTAGTCACGGGCGAATGAGTACTGCTGGAATAGACAGAGGTATATGCATGTGGCAACCTCCGGGCCATGGGCATAGGAACAGGAAGGGTCAAAGGGGTCGTGCCCCACCCACACAACCACTTTTCGGGGTCGGGCTAGCAATGTAAACTGACCTTCCTCCCACACACACAGAAGCATTTCTTCAGATTTAAGTTGTGTTTAGCTAATTTTTGTTATTCCTGAGACATGCTTGCCGATCTTCCTTGTTCACCAGCTATCTTTTTCAAATCCCACTGGGCACAACTGCCTCATGCCATAAACGCCACCATCTTACCCCATCATTCGCAGCGAACAGAGATATCAAGGGGCAAGCTCTACGTTACCCTAGTACCAAGGATTCCGGTCTGTTTTTTTTTATCTTGCCCTGTTTCTTCTGCACGCCTGCCTTCAGTCCTCTCGGCATAGGCTCATGGAATTTAAGATGGACGCGTTATGGTCAGTGGGCGTAGTCAGCATGTCCGGCAAGAGCAAGGTTTTTGTATAATGCCGGTATTTCAGGCAACTTTCGCAAAATTGCTGCTATTGCGATACAGTGTTAAAAATTTCAGAAGATACTTGAGATACTACGAGTTCGTGGGCGTTTGTTGTTGGCAAGATTGCTACACTATTTGCCAGACCGATATTTTATTGTTCAGTCATTTCTAAAAAATTGGAAGACCATTAGGCTCTTCAATAAGTGCCTGACTAGGCCGAGTGTAGATTCGGAATACACCGAAACAGAAACCGAGCCAGTCTTGTTCATTGTGTTTTCACGCAATTAAATAAATGAACAACACGAACTCCTGCGTCGCCCATGTGGTGCTCAACCCTTCCAAATGCACGATTTCTTTAGAATAAGCATTTAGTAGAGTGCTGACACATCCGAAGATGTGCTGGTGACCACCCCCGCCAGCAGCGACAATCAGAAAGTCATTAGTTTGCTGCAGGTATTTCTGAACCGTTCTGGCTTCGGGGACAGGTGCTTTCCAGGTATGCACGTCGGGCAGGAGCAAAACAGTGCAGTATCATCCATTATAAGTGTCACAGTGCATGCAATCCATTTGTCCAGATGTCACTACTGTCAATGAGTGGACTATGACAAAGGGCGAAGTTTGTCTGCCCTACGCTAGCAAGGTTTTGCAGAAGAAAGCTGTAAAAGTTTCATTAAGTGATGTTTGTGTTGAGCCACGGAATATATGTCAGTGTTTCTCAAAATGTGCATGAGCATTGTCTTAATCAGTTTTTGCAAAATGGTTTGTAGAGATAATTGTTTGAGATTACCTGTTCGCGTATTTTGTCCGAAAATTTTGCATGCAATCGGCCGGGGAACCGTTCGCGCGTCATGAAACGCACCGACACGGTCATGTCGTGTAATAGTTTAGACCATTTCGCATCTCGCCAACTGTCATCTGCCAGGCCAATCAGCTGACTCAGGAACCAGGTTCCTGCTACATGCAGGAGTGAGGGGTGTGAACCGCTCGGACACGACTGCGGGAATCGGTATAAATATGCGTATGTGGGTAACTTATGCCACAATGATCAACCACCGAATCATAAGGTTGCAGCTTGAGAACTACATGGTCGACTCCTGAGGAAAAAGTGCAATAGTTTTGTCCTATGACACGAAAGGCTGCTGAACAGTACTGATCATTTAATTGAACATTAAACATGAAATGGCAATCCAAAACGCTTCTGGCACGGTTTAGTCAGCCTGTATTACGGGCGCTTCTCGAAAGGCGTAACAACTAAATGCGTCCCTCGGGCATGTAAGGTCATAATGGTTATTACAAAGGTGCCTACAAGCCGGTAGGCATTTTAAACAGTTAAAATTTCAGTCAGATAACGTAATAATGATAATTTTACGAAAGTTGCGCAACAATCCGGCAATAAACGAAACACCAACATTTTTTTTGCTAAAATACCGGGTTATACTAAACGCCTACGACATGCCTAAGTACACAGCCTCTCTATGGAAAGTGTACACCTTTGTTTTACATATAAAGCAGGCCAAATCGACTTCGTTCAGGGAGGAGCAAATAAATGACCGGTGCCAGGGTATTTCCCTAGTTTCCAAATGTATTATGTGAATCGAGAGGTACAATGCCCTACATCCCTCCCCTCCCCCCCCCCCCCAGCTCCTTGTTCGGTTTGCCCTTCAATAAAATGACTTTGAAGTATATTCTGGATGTCATATATATTACACTGTTCTGTGCTCTATTTTGCGTATATGCTGTACCGTGCTGTATGCTGGCATGCTGTATGCATGCATATCTGTCAGTATATTCTGAGCCTGACCTTGACGAGGTAGACAAGAAATTGAAGAAAGCGAGAAGATGTGGTGCTGTCTTACGTGCACCAGCAGACTGCGGTTTATTTCGCACGCTTATGGCGTAGAATCTGGACCTGGAGTTTCAGTAAAAAATGCACCTGCAGTTTCAGAAAACTTTTGAATTTTGGCTCCATCCTCATGACGAATTTCTGCTTACGCCACTGGGAATGGACATTATTCTCAACTCGAGACAGTTCATACTCCCATTCGTGATCTTATTCACTTTGAATGAATTATGATGACCACATTACATCAGTGTTTTTCCGACAGGCGGTACGGCATGTTTTTTTTTTGTCTGGAATGTTCGTTTTTTTCGTTTCGTTCCTTGAACTTTTTTCGACCAGAAATGATCATTTCAGAGCGTTGAGATGAAAAGAATTGATAGTGGTATGACAGGGCTACACGCGCCTGGGGGCCAGCCGCCATGTTTTAGTCCCCGCAGGGTCGCCTCGGAGTGTGCGCTGAGAGCCTGGTCGGGGTCCGCTTCCTAGGGAGGGCCTCTCGGCCCACTCGTGGCTGACAACATACAGCCTGCCCCAGGTGAGCAGGGCTTCGCGAGGATTGAGTAGAAAGCAAGGAAAGGGGATATAAGGGCCGGATTGGCCTGATTGCCTCCCCCCCCCCCCCCCATTCCTATTTTTTTTTAATTCGCCGCTCGACCATTCCTTGGCAAGTCGAGCAACAATATCTGTGCCAAATAGATTAGATGGTTGTCGACATACCTGGCACTGTTATTCAAGAGCAAAAATAGTTGTGCTAAAGCCATCGCTAGGAGTAAAATTGATACTGGTGTGGGAGCAAGATCCGCAGTCTACTGACATCTAGTAGCCTGTAACAAACTACCAACGCCATAACTGATAGTATATGTGCTGGCCGCTAGATGACAGCGCAGTGACAACCGCGCGCAGCTGCTAGTGCGCCCGGGGCACCGACGAGCGGGGGAGCCGGCTGCTATGTGGGGGACGGGTACCGCGCTGCGCAGAGCGTGTCTGGCGGCCAGACCCGGTTGGGGTGCCGAGTGGGGTGCGGGTGGCGTGTGGTGGTGACGCGTCGCGTTCAGGGGTACGTCTGCCAACTGACGAAGGTATGGCGTGAGTGGGAGTGGGGTGTGTGCATTTCGTACGAGCTCGAGCTGCGGAAGGAAAATCGTATCAGCTGTTGGTGACGGGCGAAGGCACGCCGGTTGTGCATCTGGTGGACAGGAAGTATAGTGTCGTGACTCATGTCTGGGACGATCCGGCCCCCCCCCCTCCCCACTTTTGCTTCTAGTAATCCTGGCGGAAGTGTGGTGGCATGCGTCCGTCCATGTCCCAACCGAAATGAACAAATTGGAATGGTTTGTTTAGATAGAAAACGCAAGGGCTGGTGGCTCTGTGACATGCTGAGTCTTTTGATACGATTCGTTAGATGGAGAGCCGATGCTTGACTCGGACGAACCGGGTAGCGGACAAAATTCATAGGCTTTTGAACGCGATGCTTCCCGTATGACACTGCTGATTACGACGAACACGACACGGTACACCACCATGCGTTTGTGATCCAACAATACCCATCCGGTAAAATACGATTGGCGTGGAATTCACCACTTTATACCAGGAGCGGTGGCACGGATTTTGAGTTGGGGGAAGTTGGGATTACCCAGGGGACCTCCTGGACAAAATGGGGCCTCTTCCACTAGGGCCTTCTGGACAATGTCGCATTCAAGGGGAAGGGGGGCACCGAGCTTTTGCCCGTTTGCCAAAATGTGACGCATCAATAGCCATATATGCATATTTTGACAATACAAAAATCCATAACGTGGGCCTCCTGATTAGGACAGGGATCTTCTCGAATTGGAAAATGTTGTAATTATCATGATACGTAATGACGGATCCAAAAAATGTGACGTTTAGCAACATCCTTATCAAATGTTGAAAACAACAACAATCATGAGATCCGAAGCGGGATCCTTCCGATTAACAACGGGAACTTCGAATCTAGCAAAGCGCCTCGGTAGTCCTAAACAGGCCATACTGACCCGGAACTGCAGCCATATGATACATGAAAGGAACCTCCTGTTCCAGAAAAGGACCCTCCTTATATATGGAGGTCGTCTTTTTATCCAGGATAGGGGCTTTTGGTTCATGACGGGTGCCTCCCGAGTTAGCAAAGGGCCTCTTAAACACAAAGTTGAGCCTCCTGGTCTAGAGCACGGGCTATCGAATTTTATACGCTGTCTCATGTACTCGAAAATGAGTCTCTTAGTGGAGAAAAGGGTGTTTTGAGCCTGATGTTATTTGGGCAGTGGTGTGGGCCTGCTTTATCTCAATTTTGGTATCCGACGTAAGCATTTAGTTTAGCGAAAGCATCCCCTACAAATTTTGAGGAGCAAGAGCATACTCGTGCACCCTCAGTCCCGCCCCCTTTATCCCCTGCCGCGCCTCCCCTGCTTGAAACATGTTGTGACAGGTGGTTTGTGAATCTCTCGATACTGGAAATGACGACATCTTAACAAAAGTTTTCCACTAAAAAACACAGCTCTTTCGCGCCCGATCGCAAAAAAGCGCATTCAACACGCAATAGACAGTGCACCCGAGTTAAACGAATATGAAAGATTCAAGTCATTCGTAGTGTTTAACGCTTAAATGTCTGGATGTTTAGTGATCAGACATTTTTTGCTGATGTGATTAAAAAATGTACTGCTCTTTTGCGCCGAACCGACCTTTATTGTACAGGAAGGCATCAGAAGGTCTTCCAAAATTATTACATTAAGGGCACGACGTTTCGATATGAAATGATTATTGTTGGACCATGATCTGCCGGCAATAAGCTACTCGAAACATCGATGCCTTAAACATAATAGTTCTCGTGTGCTACCTGTTTGCCCGCATCCAGCGGTGTACTGAATGTTGGTACACCGATTCGCCGTTACATGTCGTCATTTTTCATCTTGAATGCGACCACTGGTTTCGAAAGTGAGAAAACCTTTCTTCCCGCGATCACATCCCGTCAAGAAGCGTGCCATTTCACGTGGCGCAGCTCAGGATCGTGACTTCATGAAGAAACCAGTTTTAAAAAAACAAGTTTTTATGATTTCTGGAGTGTTTCTTGCCAGTTTTTTAATTTATTACAGGTTAGGTAGAAGCCTCACATGGGGGTCCGGGGCAGGTTTTAGGCAATGTCCGTAGGCATTCCAAGCTTCAGGTCTGCTGCGGCATACCTTCGCAGCTCACGTTCATCACGTGCGACCGTTTGTCAGTGGCGAACGTGACTGGTTTGATCACATGACTTCCCTAGCGGAGCAGGTCCGGTGCCGACGTGCAGAGGGCTTGTCCAAACCCACGCGCCCACTCCCCCCCCCCCCCCCCAAACGTCCATAGCAATGTTCCCCGGCATTCGCCGCCCCCCCCCCTCATACCTCATCCATAGTCACCTCGTTCTCCTCCACTTGTTTTTGTCATCGTCTGTGGTCCGTGACCCCTTCGACTCGTCCCTCGTCCTTCGCTCCCGCCTCTCGTCTGTCGCGCTATCCTCTCATCTTCCGTCCAACCCCATCAGCCAAGCAGAGATTAGCTGCCGTCCTCATGTGGTGCGAGATGCGATAGATGTGCACACATGATTTGTGTATGGGGTGAACGGATTCGATCTTGTAGGGGTTCGACCAGAGGCCTCGCTGGGATTGGCGGGGGCGTCTGGGGAGAAGTAGCCGTATGTGAACACTCATGCTGTCCTCTTGTCCTTTTTGGGGTCCTCTGGTGTCACGCTTTGGTGTGCTGCAGTGAGCAATCCGAAATTTACACCGTTCGGTCACTCTTGTTCATGTGTGTCCCAACTGTACAAAAGGCCACTGACTTAGTAACTGAGAGGTCCGGACCATCGCGCCCACCCGTTGCGTACGCCTTTGCCTGCGTGGTGGGGGATACGGTGGCGTGTGTTTGTTCTCATCTTCGCTCTCGTCTGTCGTCTCGCGGCGTTGACCTGGCTTGCTGCGGCTACCAGACGGCTCAGTCGTCCGGTGCGAGCCGATGTCATGCGATGCGAGCCCGCGGAGCGCCGTGACTCATGGCAGACACCGTCTTCAGAGAACCCGATGGAGGGAAGGGCCCCGGAGCGTGAACAGACACGCTTCACTCCGGCGGACTCTGGTCTGATTCAGGGATTGGTTCCGCTTGGGTTAGAATCATATTCGGATTTGGTTTTAATGGTTGTTCGGCTAAATCGGTTTTCGAATAGATTCGCGTAGTCCCCCGATTCGTAAAGTGATTCAACCAAATCTCCGGGCTGCTTCTTGGTTGACTTTCCACTACACAAACTGAGCTAACCAGCTAGTATGTGCCAGCACGAAATGGAAGTTGGGAATTTGTGGCGTTGGCGATTTCTCAGTTGGTGGGGATACAGGGGGTGAGTTGGGAGGTTAGAGTTGTCGTGTTCCCAAAATTTAACAGCGTGGAAAGGGGGACAACTTGGTTCTGGAGTCACTAATGCCATAACATGCATGCAATTGTGTAGTTAAGTTATTTGCTACCCTCTGTTTTCAAAAGTAAAAGCGTAATGCGGCTTAAGAATCAGATTCAGCAAGTGTAACTGTGATGGAGTCAAATTCGGATTCTATGCAAATTTTTAGTCGCTTTGAGTCACAATCGTTTTGGTTCAGATTCGGAGTCGATTCCACCGAAGCGACACCGAGCAGAAGTCTGCTCAACGCTCAGTTGGCCGGATAGTGGCGGACATTTCCGGTGAGCCCCCTCACGATTGGCTGCAAATGGGACGAGGCCAGTTTGGGCGGACGCGGGGGATTATCGCTTCCTCGGTGGTGACGCCCTGTCCACTATCAGTCAGCCCATCGGCTGATGTAACCTGCTGTTCATGGCGCCCTGGAGCCCAGTGTCGGCCCTCACGGGAACTATCGTAGGAGGCAACTCTGACAACTGAATGTGTCTGTAGACCCGCAGCTTTGATGTCTTGCCCCAGGACCGCTCTAGTGGAAAATGTCCGCTGACGTGACTGAAAAATGGTGGTGACATCCGTGTTTATGACGGTATTGTCCTGCGTGGATGGAAAGCACACTGATTGGCTTTCTTGATTTTCAGGATGCTTGTGGCGAATCGCTGCAGGTGCATCCAACGCTCGATGTCTGGCACTCGGACTAACGTCTGTGAAGCTTGCATACGTGTTCATATTCTAATTTCGCGTCGGTTTGGAATCCCCGCTCTAATCACGCCGTCGATCAGGATGGGGGATATCTTACGTTGTTAAGCGCGGGGAGCGCGGCAGACCTTGGTTTTCTTCATAACAGCTTAGAAATGAAGATACCCATAGTATGGTACGTTAGTAGTTGCTAAAAAAACGCCTGACAAATGGCTGTCTAAACTACTCGTGATCATAAGCATAGCTTGAAACGTCGGGTCCTGTCAATACAGCCAACGTTTATTGTTCTATAACGCTGCGTGACCAGCGCCTCCTGCTTCATTGAAGGCCGATAACTCGGCATGTGAACTCTCATCTTGTTTTGCTTTTGATCTACTCTAAATGGCAAGCACCTGGCAACGTCGATAAAGCAAGGAACCCATGCAATAGTGACGTCACAAATGGTGCACGGCAGAAAATGGTTGGCCCCAGGGATTGGTTCATGTACATTCATGCTTTCTTAGGATCTGAGCTTGTTTTAGATTCTTGATGAGTCATTAGAATACGATAATTTAATAAGAAGTTGAGGCTGTCATAAGAAAACTCACTACGGCCTTTATTATTACATAACTAAGGCCTATTAGAAAACTCACTATGGTAAAAGATTGACCTTTGGTACCATGACCTTTGTTGAGTTTCTGAGCCCGATGGGTGTTCGCGCACGGGTTACCGGAACTTCAGCGCGATAGTGATTCATGGTTTATGAACTGACCTACCATGAACTTACAGCAAGCGTGTCGGATCTTGATTGACGTTTTTGCAGCTTAACACGATCAAATGCTATAAACGGGTTACAATTTTAGAGCAGATGCGGTATGGATCCGTGATGATTTGATGCCGCCGCTTGATGGTCGAACACGACGTGTGTGTGGTTTGTGTAGCTTGGATTTTTCATCAGCTGGACACACAATGACTCATTTATACGTCGCACAAAAGAGGTCTTTTTGAAGTACTTCTGAATAGGCCCATAAACTAAGTGCTGCCATTAAAGCTTGAAATCTGTTCAACTCATCATCGTGCACGATTTAAGAGGTACATGCTGCTCACAATGCGGTTTGGGAATGGTCGATTTGATTGGGCTATAAATGGTGCTGCTCATCTCTGCATATTCAGGATTGCAACCGTGAGCAACACAGAGAACGTCTAATTTTTTCTATTGGACTTGGCATACTTTTACACCGTTGATAAGCTGACAAATGACGACCAGAACTGGGTGGTCTTTCCGATTATTCGTACTCAATTCAGCATTTTCCTTTTTCGTTTCAATATCGTCTCATGTCCCGGCGTTATCGTACCACTGCGTCAAATGTAAATGGATGTGCAGTCGAAAAGAAATATTGCCCAACTGTGTTCTTTCACGCGACGTGTGGAGTGTCATGTCATGAAATATCGCGCATTAGCGTATTTGCATGCGACTTCTCTGTTCCTCCTATGCCATGACGCCAACAAGACCAGCCGCGGAGTGAGGCTGAGGAAGCGGACAACACTGGCAACCGTGGCAATGTCAGTAGAAAACAACTGGACTGAGCTCTTGCTTGGGATCTGGTCGAGACCCAAAACCTGGAAAGCACACTTCACCGGAAGAAGAGCCACCAGAAAAAAAACAGGCTAGGGACCACAGCGCCGGAGTCCTGACAGCAGGTGGTGTGTAGGCGTGTTTGAAAAGCTCTAATGCGGCTTGTCCACGGCGGTCCCACAGAAGCCTGGGTGTGGCGACCGCATACGCTGGCGAAGCAGCCCGTGGAGCCCCTCTGAACCAGATTGGTTAGCTGCGCGGCCTCGCAATGCCAACAGAAGAATTGTTGGCCATGTTCAGCGACATTGACTCGATCTTCTGCGTCCACCGGGCCACTGCGTCCGACGGCGTGCTGCGGAGGCCTGCAGCAAGGGGATCTGCGGTGCCTTTTGCAACAGAAGTTCCGGCTTGTGGACGATCACATGTTGAAGACATTTACTGGAACACGGATCTTCACTAGAACTGGCTGTTTTACCAGGGAAATGGGTGCAGCCCTCACATGACGCGAGATGGAAATGATATACTTCAAATCCTTTCGCAGTGATACCCGGTGGTTCCAATGGGACGGTGGGACCTAGCGAGGACCTCATTGTCTGGCGAGCCCTACGGATTAGAGGCGCAACTATTGGCTTAACGGACTGGAGACGAAAATAATGGAATCATTTTGCTTGTCAAAAATTTCGACCCGCAAAAGCTTGCCAAGCCTGGCTTACAATGCGGCCAAAAGCTGAATGATTCTTGTGGGCCAAATGTTGGCGAGGCGACGTGGGAACAATTTATCGTTACCAAGAATTCATTATTTGAGTTCCCCGGACTGCAACCGCGGCCATTCGCGGTATAACTGGTAAGCCGGGTAACCCCCTGAACACCGCAAATATCTGTGGGAAATCTGACGGCTGATGATCACGCCTTTGTGGGGGAGAAGCAAATCCGCTTCGTCTTGCATGACATGTTTAGTGGCCATGGAACCCGCCTAGTGGCCAAAGTGTGACTCGATGGATTCACGTATTGAGAGGAACAGCCCATGTGAATGTAGCTGGCCTATTACACAATTGTCCATCACTTAGCGACAAACCGCTGACACCAAATGTAATCTGATGTGAAGCACAAGTCCGGATCGTTGTGGGAGTTGTGAGCGTCTTGAACGTTCGTGGTCAAGGGAGTTCCCCGAGACCTAGTTATGGCACATGTTCCTGGCTGGCCTTGTCCTGGGCAGGCCGCCAGGGACACACTCTGACTTTCAGCTCCGTCCTGTCACATTGTCCTTACCTACGTTGTATGTTCCGTACGATTGACACATATTTTTCGAGTCATGCGTCGGGCAGCACGCAGTCATAATGTTTATAGTGCTCACGCTACGGACACCGACGGCACGAAATCAGTCTTCGAACAGACCTCACAAACCTAATGCACGCTCCAAATTTTCCTATAGATAAACTATTTGTGATGTCCTAGTGCTATGTCCCAATAACCTGCTTATGATGTCCTTGCCACGAATCACTCTTGCATAGCAGTTCACAAGACATTTCAAAAAGCGAATTTCCATCGTCGTCATAGGTTTCAGGGGCGTCTGAAAACACTGACCAGTCATGTATCGTGAGGTCCCGGAGATTTTCTCGATTCAGCCAAATCTAATATTGCATTAGTCGTCTGCGCAAGGCTCTCGCCCATTCGTTTCTTTGCATCATTGTTTTGATCAGGGTCCTGTGCATATGCTGCGTGTGCTGCTGCTGCGTGCGAATGATGATTGGTGGAGAAAACCTCACGAGATTGCACTCCCTACCAAGGTACCTGCGCGTGATGCGCACGGTCAGGAGCAACTGCAACACGCGCAGATAGAGCGCAGCTGCACCCACACGCAAAGGCCAATGGCATCACGATCGCCGCAAGTCCTGATCAAGTCGCCGCATGTCCCAAGTCCCTTATCCTCCATTTGTCAACACCTGAAAGACCTGTGGCGTCTCCTCCATAGCTGTCGTGCTCCTTACCCCCCGTCCCAAACCCCCTGGATTCTTTCCGTGCCACCGTGTAGGGAACTTTATTAAACCAAAGTGACGAAGTTTTCTAAGACGCTGACAAACCAGCTGACGTACAACCGTTCGCGAAACATGTGGCGGACCGACCTCGTGAATAAAATTTCGGGCGGACCAGTCGGCAGGGCGCCCTCGCAAAGCTTGCAGGTCACTTAACAGGGGGGGGGGGGACGGAGTTTAAGTCTGCGAGCGCGGCGCGCGAGCGGCATATCAATTGACCTCAGGATGCCGAAAGCCCATCGGGTGCAACCAGGTCTGTAGAGCCAATGCTCATTACCATCACTTCCTGTGACCCAGTGTCTTACATGTGAGCAATTACAGGATAAAACTGGCGTCCGAATTCGTGGCAGGATTTTTTTTAGAAAAGGTGTCTTCTTCACATGATATGCATCGTGGCAGCAGAGCACATCTCCTTGGGTACAAGAGAGCACTGCGAGCGCATGCAAGCTACGTTACAAAGAACAACCGTGGAGTATGTTAAGCAACATTCGCGTTACATGAAAGCATATGACTTACTTACAATCCACTGTATGGCTGCGGACCATGAGACGCGTCATTGCACATGAAGCCGGCTTGTTACCGTGCAACATGTAGTCAAATGTCTGGGCTGGAAATATGGGCTGCTGGTGTTCTCTGATGCAGTGGCGCGGCTAGCGCAGTTCTTGGGGTTTAATCTCTCCCCCCCCCCCCCTTCCGTGGAGATGTGGTGCCTGTTTTGGGCCTGAGCTCCCACTACTTTTTGGTAGTTTAGAACCTTTGAAAGGATTTATAAAACGTAAAGACAGCTTCCCGAAACATCAAATTAGCAGTCCGAGCTTAAAAATATCTTCAAAATCCAGCAACAGGGAGACCGCAATGACGAAAAAGATCCCTACATGCCCGACCTGGCCCCTTGCTGGGCGAAATCTTGGCTACACCACTGCACTGACGTCATCGCCAGACGTTGACTGCATGACCAGATGTTGACCTTGGCTGTCAAGGGCGGGGGAAGCCATTGACAGAGTCATCAACGAACGTAAACAGTGTAATTTCTCGGGGATGAGATAACCATCAGAAGCCGGTCCTTCATGACGATGACTTATGCCTCCCGTCGAAGAAAAAAACAGCTCAAAGCTCTGGCCAGAAGGAATTATGGTCGGTAAAGGCGTTCAGGACGGAAGATAGAGTACGATGCCTAAGTTGCCGGACAGCAACCCACTCAAACACTGTATGTACTTACGGTATATTTGTACTTTGGTAGTCTAGTACCTTGCTTGCTTAAGCAGACAGGAAAATGACGAAGAGGTGGTGGGTAAGTCGGACCGCTGCTTTGACGATAGCTATCGTCACTGAATCATTGTTTTGTGATCATAGACGCCAGCAATCTGGAGGAAACACTCTATCGCGTTTTTGTGAACCATTGATGTTTGCGAATGGCCTTTCTCTAGCCGTTGTATCTAAGGCATGGTGCGCATTGCCAGAGTTGCCTAATCGCGCATTTTTCGTTCGCCAGGGGCGATGACGGCGCGGGGCCGGACGCTGCCGGTGCTGGTGCTGGTGCTGGCGCTGAGCTGCCTGCGCCCTGCCGCCGGCATCTACTTCTTCAGCCGAGACGACGGTGTCGCGCCGTCGCCGCTGCCGCCGCCGCCGCCTCCGGCTCAGACGGCCCGCTGTGTCTGCTCGCTGGCCGAGTGGTGTCAGCCGGTGACCCAGCCTAAAGTGGAGCTGAGCGAGGTCAGTCCCGAGTCGGCCAGCTGCGTCTGCTCGCTGAGCCGAGTGATGTCAGCCGGTGACCCAGCCTGAAGTGGGGCTGAGCGGGGTCAGTCCCGAGTCGGCCAGCTGCGTCTGCTTGCTGGCCTAGTGGTGTCAGCCGGTAACCCAGCCTAAAGCGGAGCCGAGCGAGGTCAGTCCCAAGTCCGTCAGCTGCGTCTGCCCGCTCGTCGTGGCGCGCGACGCGGCACGTGACGGTGAGGTTGGAACTATGCTGGCCACGTGATGCTGACGTCACGGCGGTGCTGAGACCACGTGATCTCGAGGAGTTGACGACGCCCCAGGTGACCAACACGGGCCAGCTCCGCCACGTGGGGCTGACGTGGCGATGGAGCTGAGAACGTGTCAGTGGTTTGACTCTGACATGGTCTCTGGGGTATCGTCGCAACACGGGAATGCCTGCCCCATATGAAAGCCCGCTGTATGTATGTAATCATGTCCCACGGCTACTGCCGTCCTTTAGCCGTCGGTCACGTGGGCGCGGCTGTGGCCTGGCGTCGGGGGAATAACCCGTTGGCCACCCCGGCGGCTTGACTCCGGGGTAGGAGGGGCTCCAGCGGGTGTCTGGTGTCCGAGGCAGGGATGTGGGGGGGGGGGGGGAGCGTGCGGAAGTGGTCCTGGTCTTCCGCGATGAATCGGGCAAAGGCCGGCACGATGCGCGTCAACATGCCCAGCGCGCCACTTGAGTTTGCAGTCCGTCCTGCCGTGTTGGCGGACGCGTATCATGTTATGACGCCGCTATCAGCTGTTGTAGATATGGGGCTTACAGCGGGCTGACTCATGTTTCAGCGTTCGGACACACTGTTCACACATGTTATGCGAGGGTTTGGCAGGAATTCGACACGACATTCCTGAAGGGTTTGTAAGCGAATGAATTCTAACCTAAATGTGGTTATGCCATGAGATAGTCATTTTGCGATGATTAATGAACGATGATTGTAAAACATTGTGCTGATTGCATTGCTATTTCACTGTGCCTTGCTATCCGCTGTATGTATGTAACCATCTCCCAAAAATGGAAGGGCATGCTTCATGCGAATCAGGCTTGCCTCACATGGCGTTTTTAAATCGGACTCAACAGAGGATATTCACATATTCCCCGTTTCAAGAGAGTGCTCCACCTTTGGGGCATATGTTAAAAGCAAACCCTAATGAAACCTCCGGATCTCATACGTCTCATAAAAACACTGGGTAGTGTCCCTTTGTTACTTAAATTACGCTGTCAACGCTTTCTCTTCCCTGTAGTCACGATCACCGTTGCCGTGACAACCACCCTGCGTACCTGTACTGGTGCCAGTTAACGAACGGTAATGATTTGCCAAGTGGCCAGGGACCTGTTACTGAGAAGCGCATTGGTTGAAGTTTGAACCAGGCTCCTGATGGATCATGTGACGCCTCCACTCCCAAAGCCAAAGCACGCTTCGAAAAGAGCCACTGCGGTAAACGCAACAGGGTAGGAGTCAAAGCCATAGTGCAACGTTTCGTTGAATTCGCGGGATAATAACGTCATGTTCGCATATTTTTGCTTCGCTGAGAGATTGTTTCAAGCTTTCGTAGCATTTTTGACAGAAGCATTTTGGCACCGAAGTGTGATATAAACGTTACAGGTCACAGACGTAGGAAAAGTAAGACAAATGAGATGTCTTATTTTCATGGTGGCGAGCAGGGAGTCAAATGAGATTCCTCCCGCGGGGTCAGCTACTTCAAATCAAAATTCTGAGCTATTCAAATGGATTTCGAGAAAACTGGCATTACTAATGAAATCATACGCGTCTGATGTCACTATGATTTAAAAGTACGAAAGGTGAGAAACTCCCTTTAAAAATGCTGCGGTACTCATTTTTCATTTTACGAAAGCAAAATAAAAAAATGAACGTCTCTCACCACACCTGCGAACGTACATGCTACTAGCAACATTTGGCCAAGGCCCATGTTAGAGAAATTGGAAGAGCTTAGTCTTCACTCAGGGTGTCAGTAGCGTGGTGGTTAACGCGTCTAACGTGTAACGCGGCGCGTCTGGGAAGCCAGAGGTACGAGGTTCTATTTCCTGTGGTGCTCGCCCGTCCTGCTAGGGTGAGAGGCAGGCGACGCATATAGCCGCAGCAGCTGAGTGCGTCGTAAAGCCCCAATGACAACAGTCCCTAGTCTCTTCTCCCCCGCCATGCGGTGGTTAAACCCACGCGCAGCTGTCCGTGTTCTGAGCAAACGTGGCGCTGCCGATATGTGACGCAATGACGAAGCGTATCTCTGGAATTGTCTCTTAGGCAACACAACAGTTTGTAACACAATTCACAAAGTCCATTGATCTAGGGCTATGTAGGAAGCTGAAACAAAGGTCAAAAGCAACCTGTTTTTTATTCAAGAGCATGCTGTATTAAGTAGTCTCTGATGCCCATTTGCAATATGTTGATAATAACGACTGCATTATAATCTTTCATTGACTTCTTAAAAGTCAGAATAGGTCATTGACCTAAAATGACCAAGGTCAACATTTTGTTGCTAGGAACCTACCGCGTAGCGTAATTCTTGATGGGTATTGAAATGCAGAAACCAAAACACTCTGGTATGATTTTTGTTACAATGACCGTCTTAAGGGCAAACAAGGTCACTGACCTTAAATAAACACCAGTGAGCTTTTGCTTAAAACAGGTTTCTAAGTTCACGGCGGCTGCATGAGAAGGCCTGGGGTACATTGGACACTAGTCTGGACTTCGACCTTGTTTGGCCTTATTTGATCCGAAGATCATAACCTAGGAACCTCAAATTTTGACACATGAAAGCTAACATACAAGCAAACACGGCCTGTAAATGTGGTGTAACTAGCTCGCTTAGTTTAGAGATATCAGGGGGCCAAATTGTCTCACCCCCATCCGAGCGAAGGATGTTCAACCGGCTACACGGGCCGTGTTAACACGCGCTCGGGTGGGCAATCAAATTGCCCCTTCTCCTTGAGGTTTTCCCCGAAGTGCTTTGCGAACGGCGTGGCGTGGCCGCGCCAAATTTTGCATAGGTGTAGAAAATTGAATATTGAATCGTATGATATAAAAAATTAGATGTAGCTTGTAAAGTCGCTGACATACGGCAGGTCAAAGTCAGGCTGTGGATTCAACGAAGCCACTTTTTAGGAATCGTTAAATATTATGGAACAACCGATTGTTAGGCAAAGCCGTACATCTCTGAAATACTTTCTTGGAACACACAATTAAATGACCAAATTCCATTGACCTAGGGTCAGGTATGAAGGCCAGACCAAGGTCAAAACGAACCTGTTATATTTCTCTAGGGCTTGTGTTATGGGGTAGTTTCTGGTGTTCATTTTCAATTTATTTATAACAGGAACCGCATAAGACACCTTTCATGGGCTTCTTAAAGGTCTGAATCGGTCACTGACCAAAATTTACGCAAGCCAACGTTTCGTTTTTAGGAACATACTGCCTTGCATAATCTTTGTCGCTTATTCAAATGCAAAATTGAAGCAGTCTTCTATGATTTTGGTCACCATGACCTTCAAAAAGTCAAACAAAGTCACCGAACCGAAATGGCCACGTGAACTTTTGCTTAGAACAGGTACCTAGGTTCTGGGAACACTTTGGAGACCAACTTGGAGTTTGACCTTGTTTGATCTTATTTTATCCGAAGGTCAGGACCTAGGATCCTCAAAATTGGACCTACGTGAGTTAGCGTGCAGGCACACACGCCTTGTGCATTTGGTGTTCCTAGCCTTCTTAATTCCTGAGATCTCAGGGGGTCAAATTGACTCCCACCCAAGCGAAGGGCGTCTAAGCGGCCATCCGGGCGCGTGTTAAGAGTCAGTGCACACCAGTCGGCGCATTAGGTCAGCTCTCATCTGTCCTGCGCTGAATGCCAAGACCACGTGCAGTCTGGAGAAATGGCGGACGATGTGGCAGGTCAGCCCACCGGTGTCAACGGGCTGCACTGGCAGAACTACAGTGCTATCGGTGCTGACAGCTCGACGAGACTGGGCCCGGTTGTCGTCACACGCCTGCCTGTGCGGCACGTGGCGTGCGTCTAATGGCATAAACAGGCGCCAACATATGTGGCTAGACACTCGAGATAGAAAACAGTGGCGCAGGCGGTGGAGCTTTGAACGCTCGCATGCCTTTTTTTTGCTGCTTTTTTGTGACACTGAAAAACGTCCCCAAAGGAGTTGTTTTTTATCTTTGGTTGGGGACGCGGCTTGGCAGATGTAGCAGCAGTGTCGTTAGTTTTCTGAAAAATTATCGTAGTTTTGTTTGGTCCAGTCCTCAAAAACGTAGCAGTCCTTTATCTTTGTGTTTTTTATTGAAATACACCTGTTCAGCCCTGCCGCTGGACATCGGCTGTCCTGCTGTTCCCGCCAACCGTTTCATCCTGAATCCTCCAACGCTGTCCATGCCACCGGGGTGAGTCGCGATCAGCTGTGAGCCGACTTGGTGCCGAGCTGTGGTCAGCTGTGAGTCAGCTTAGTGCCGTGCTGCGGTCAGCTGTGAGCCGATCTAGTGCCGAGCTGCGGTCAGCTGTTAGCCAGCTTAGTGCCGAACTGCGGTCAGCTGTGAGCTGGCGTAGTACCGAGCTGTGGTCAGCTGTGAGCCGGCCTAGTGCCGAGCTGTGGTCAGTTGTGAGTCGGCTTAGTGCCGAGCTGTTGTCAGCTGTGAGCCGGCCTAGTGCCGAGCTGTGGTCAGCTGTGAGTCGGCTTAGTGCCGAGCTGTTGTCAGCTGTGAGCCGGCCTAGTGCCGAGCTGTGGTCAGTTGTGAGTCGGCTGAGAACCGAGCTGCGGTCAGCTGTGAGCCGACCTAGTGCCGAGCTGTGGTCAGTTGTGAGTCGGCTTAGTGCCGAGCTGTGGTCAGCTGTGAGCCGGCCTAGTGTCGAGCTGGCGGTCAGCTGTGAGCCGGCGTAGTGCCGAGCTGCGGTCGGCTGTGAGCCGGCTTAGTGTCGAGCCGGCGGAAGTCCGCCCGACTGTCTACCCCAACCCCGAAGACGGTCTCTGTGCGGAGGTCGTCGGCGGAGTACCCCTACGATGGCTGCAGTACTACCCCACCTCTTACCTTTTTTAAAATCCCATGCCTCTTAAATGGTCATTCGTGGTTGGAATCTAACCTAAACCCAAACCAAAAACTACTCGTCTAATACTGATCCTCCGCCCGTTGTCGCCAGGTGTTTGCGTTCGTGCTTAACACCACCGAGAAGACGTGGGCGACGTTCGACTGGGACAAGCTGACTGCCATCGTGCTGTTCGACTTCTTCGATCCGCAGATCGTGTGCCACGCGCACCGGCACAAAGTGCGCGTCCTGCACAACGGTCAGTGGCACGGCGGCCGGACGCGGCGGCCGCGGCCCCGGAGGGGGGGGGGGAGGGTAACGCCGCTGAGTCACGGTCACGGGGACCGGGCCAGCGTGACCTCAAGCCGGTGGGGGGGGGGGGGGGGCATCAGACGGACGTGGTCCAATGACCGTGAGCTGGATGTGAGCCTGGATGGTCCTGCGTCAGGGAGCCGGTCTTCGGCCACAGGGACCGGGCCAGCGTGACCTGACAGCACAGCGCACGGTCGCACCGCGGCGCTGTTGTCGCTGCCCACGGCTGGGCGTGGCTGGGGAAGTCCCCGGGTAACGTGAGATGTGAACGCCAACGCTGACACGGCCCGGGCGGCTCGGGTGACCAGATCACGTGACGTCAGTTTTGTGATCGGTGGTAGCCGGCAGGGCTGCGCACACCGGTAGCTCTTATCTCGAAGGCGACCGGAAGCAGCGCTGTTAGCAGTTGAAGCGGCGAACTGAGGATGCGGAGCATTCCGACGCGAGCTACCTACGTTTTCAATCGGGGTAGAATTGTTGACGTGCGCTACCTGCATACTCATGTGATTACGCATGTACTGCAAAGCGCCAAGGAGACGCTAGGCTTTGTTTGCAAGTAATATTTGCCATCAATTGGTGCTTGACGTCAGCAGACATTTCGTGCGGCAGAGGTGGATATTCTGGATGTGGTTATTGGTCCGGACTGTATTACACTTGTTTCTTGTCACGAGCACAAAAACTCGGTCGGTTTTCAATTCTTCCACCATTTCAGCCCCCTCCCTCACCCTTTGGAATACCAGGAGGCCTCATGATATCGACAAGGGGCCTTAGATGACCGAGGCAGACTTCCAGCGAATTAAAAGGAGGGACATTAAGACGCACAGGAGACAATCTCGACCCCGTACGAGGCCCTGGATGACCATTGACCTATACGAGTCCCTTTTGGTGGACAGGAGGCTCCGGGTGGTTGAAACAAGGTCTCGCCAGATGCATCCCATCACAAAAATACACAGGAAGCCCGCCAGTATAAGAGCACCGATTGGAGCTGCCAAAGGCGCCAGCAGACTAAGAGCAGGTTTTATTAAAGTATGTGTTTATATAGGTCATTTCGAGAAAAACGGGCAACATCCAATGATTTTTTGTGAGTTGAGATAAGTAGCTGAAGATCGAACATGAAACAGTTCGAAAGCAAAAAAAATACATATATAACTACTGTCTTGTGCTGTGGAGCGCGATGAGCGGACATACTGCGGTGCTGAGCGAGACGGGCCAGACCGGGCCCCATCGGAGCGAGACCAGATGCCCCGTCCGGACTTCGCCCCTTCCGGAGGTCATGGCCCTTGACTCATTATGAGGCGAGAACTCGCTACGCGGCGTCTGAGTCGTGTTTGTTATGTCTGCAAACGCCCGTAGATTTAGGGCGAGCACGTGTCCACTGCAAGCTTCCGGAGACTCCTATCCTTCGCGGTATCGCGGGCCGGACTGGGGCCGCGCGGGGGCGAAGCCTGGTATTCCGTAGCCGGTCTGTATTTAGGGCGAGCACGTGTCCACTGCAAGCTTCCGGAGACTCCTATCCTTCGCGGCATCGCGGGCCGGACTGGGGCCGCGCGGGGGCGAAGCCTGGCATTCCGTAGCCAGTCTGTATTTGCCGGCGCCCACGGGCTGAGTTAGTGTGGGAACCGCGCGCTTCATTCTCGTGATAATGAAGAAGCTGGCATGTGCGATCGTCCTTCAGATGGTATCATTGCAGACTGCCTTCACTGTATAGTAACTTTGCTGTGCGAGTTTGGGTAAGGTCGTTCCAAAGTGCAGCTTCCCCTCCCCCCCCCTCCCTCCCCCGACCCACGTCGAAGGACTGCCATCGGTCCCCGTCCGTTGGACCAGATGAGCCAAACCTGACCGGGCGCCACCCAGCTGACCTAGCCGGTGGCCAGTCTCCTGTCGCGTCCGGACACGTGTGCTGCCGGCCGCCTGCTGTCGCCGCCGTCTCCGTCGCCGTCGCTGGCCCACCTGAGCGCGCCGCGCTGCCGGCGGGGGCGGCGCCAGCCGTGGGAGAATGCGAGGACGGCCTGTCTTTCGTCGGCGGTGTTGGAGGGCCCGACTTTGACGGACGTCCGGTGACCTCTTCTGTCGGCTGGCGCCAGTTGATGAAAACCAACCGGGAGAGGCGCCGGCGACAGGATTATCGCAAGATGTGGTGTAACTGGAAGTGTCAGATCATCAGTATGTTTTTGGGCAATAACCATTTCGGTCAGCAGCGGTTAATTGGGGCTATGAGACGAGGTATAGTGGATGGTGTTGGAGCACGCTATATGCGCACGAGAATCCCGCGCTACCGGGACTTGGCCGGCACGCCTCTATAGGTCACGCCCTAGCGCGCGGGCAGGACGCCCGTCTGAAGGCACTTCAGCCCACTCGTGGCCGGTGCATGGGGATAGGCCGGATAAGCGGCCTAGCGTGGAGAGGCAGAATGAAGCTGGAATGAGGAAGAAGGGACAGAAAGTGCTTGAGAAAGCGAAGGTTACGACTTTGACACCAGCGCGCAGTCTGTTCGGTGAGTCAGTCCGCACAAACCACACCCGTTTCGGTTGTCCGGAACATTTCTGAACATGGGCAAGTCGGGTCGATCCGGACAGCCGTTCCACCCCGGCCAATCTGACGCGGATGTCGACTGCAAAACGTGGTGTCAGGTGTGGAATGTCGGGCTTCGGCGTCAGCTGTCTGTGTGTGGAGCCGCGCGGGTGACATATGCCGGCCACCTGTGCCGTGCCCGTGTCCGTGCACAGGCAGCCGTCCGGTGGAATCGGCCTCCCCGCTGCCTTGCTCTCTCGGACCTGGCCTGGTGGCCGTGTTTTAGCCGGGGCCATGGTCTCCCGGTGACCTATCAGCGTGGCCGGGGCCGGTCGCCGGCGCCGCTGACCGGTCGGCCGGCCGCCGGCGGCGTTATTGGCCGCAGCTGTGGCCGCAGCTGGGCCCGGCGACGAGGGCGGCGCCGCCGCAGACCGCAGACCGTCGGCCCCGCTCCGGACGGCCGTCACCAGGGCCGCCGGCCGCGGATGTGTCGACGAGGGGCATCGGCAACGGCGCGCCCACGGCGAAATGAGAACGCGCAAAAGCCACTTTGATCTTGTGCGGTAACGGAGGCCGATCAATTTTTTCTTACAAATCACTAGGATGACGAAGTAGTCTTTGTGTTTTAGTGTGACAACTGAGGGTACCATATTTGTGTGGCACGGATTCATTTTTTGTTAGACGCACTGGTGAACATCTGATTTTGAAACTCTCCTGTCCTGTGGGTGCAGAGGCGCAGCCATGGAGACACGCCCTTCCCTCCGCCTATTCTGGAGCCTTGCACAGGCTATTTGTACTTTTCGACTCGAGATATAAGTAGATCAGCTGTGCTGCATTTCCTCCCTCTTAAAAGCAATTCTGGTTGTGCGGCAGGCCGTTTTTGTTGTATTTGCAACAGTTGTGAGCAGCTGAAGTGGTAAGCGAACTCAAGCACGTGCATTGAAATGGAGACATCTAGCGCCGATGTATGATACTACAAGTACAGAGTACTGTTTGGCAGGCGATGGCCCTAAGCTTTTGGCACAGAGGTGCAAACGGGCCGCCCACTACCGTTCCGAAATTCTTAGAGTGGTCCGATTCCGAAAAGTGTTTAAAGTTACTTTCGAAATACATATAGAAGTTTTCGTCAAAATGCTGCCTCGTGGCATGGGTGCAAGAACGTCACAAAGGAGGAATTTTTGGCACATATGGTCCTAAAACCTCTTGACTGGAATGACGTTCTTGAGGAATCAAGTCCTCACATCGGAGGAATCAAAGCTTGAAAATCAGAAAGTGGATCATGAAGTCATTATCGAAACCTTGAAGTCATCATTCCATCAAAACATACAAATGAATGCACTGAATTATGTTCGCGACTCAAATGTTCTCAAAGTAAAGTAGGTGTAACACGCGTGTGTACTTCTTAAATCGGCGTGCGCGATCTGTTCTCCTCTTTATTCCGCCGTATGTAATGTATATGACAGCTGGCCGCCGCGGCTGCCGGTCCTGCCCCAGCCCCGCCATGTTTCCATGGTTGGTATGCGGACGCCCCTCTTGTGGATGCCAGGCGTGCCGGACAGCCGGCAGTGCATCGCAGCGATCATGTGACATAAATAGAACAACGATGCATGTACACCACGTGACTTTGCAACGTGGCTCCGCTTCGTTCGAAAGCGAGCAGGATGTCGAAATGAGCGGCTTAAATGGCATCCAACTCAGCCACGCCACGTCGGTGCACCTACTCAGGCCCAAATACTACGTTGTATAGCAAACAGAAGATGCGAAGCACGTGTTCAAGGTTTAACATAGGCATATCTCAGTACGAAGACGGCTTCGTTAGGACTTCGTGTGTTGCTCGTGTGTTCGTTTCCTTGCACGGCATCTGGTACTTGGTTCGGCGTTACGCCCCGCTACCGTGTCAGCGTTAGGCGGATGCCGAACGGCTGCAGCATCGCCAGCCGCCAGCCGTCCGTACAGAGATGGAGAGAGCCGGGTCATGTCGTGTGACGGCTGTGCTGCTTCGTCATCGTAGCGAGGGATACGGGGGAGTGGGCTGCGGGCGTATGTCGGGAAGCACGTGTAGGTCCGTGCGCATAGAGCGAGAGATGGGTCCAGACGTGCGTATAGGGTGCTCTGCCTCTCCAGTGTCCGTGCGGAGGTGGGTCCCGGCGCAGACGCCTGGGGTGTGCCGCTTCGGCAGTGCGCCCGCACGGGGAGGCGGAGAGGAACACTGACTTGCGTCGGCCGCACCCATCCGCAGCGCATAAAGCGAGGAAGAAGCGGATGCTCCGTCGTGTGTTGGGCGTGTAGCTTTGGCGGTGTATGCAGAGAGTGAGAGATGGGGCCCCCGGCACGTGTCCGGCGTACCGCTCATTCAGTGTACAGAGGATAGGTCCCGGTGTTTGCTGTGTGTCCCGCCTCGTCATTCATGGCGCAGAGGCAGGGTTGTATCAAATGCGTTCGCCGGTAAACAGTTGTTGAGCTTCGCTCAGAACAGCCTGTTCCACTTCTATATTCAGACACTGATTTATTGAAGCGCCGCAATCCTGAAAGCACCCCGAAAAAGAAAGGCTCACTGGACAAAAACTGCGTGTGTTCGGGAGCCTGGTCTGGCTGGGCTGTTGGGAGCATCAAGGTCCGAGACACCACCAACACTGGGTTGAAACGGCGGTAGCATGTGCGGCGAGTTACTCGATGCCAGCCAAAGTCGAGGCGCAAGTCCAACGAAAACAGAACATCGCCGTGTGAATCACACTGGTTCTCTTAAGAACTGACTCATTATAATTCAGACCGGCGCAGCGTGGCCTCAGCCCTACGGGGGACGGTGCGCGATGCGTGCCGGTGTGTCGGCAGTACCGGTCCGTCAGCGTGCCGGACAGCGGAGACTCCCAGCGGCGCGGGCCGAGGCGCATCCCGGCTCTGTCGGCCCGTCAGCCCGTGCGCCGCCGCCGGTATGTCGGCGCCGCCGTCCGCCAAATATAGCGGGGCGAGCACTGGCTGGGCGCCGGCGGCGGCCGGCCCGGCGCTGGGGGACGGCCGCTGGCGCCGCCCGTGCGCCGGTCGCTGGCGCCGCCGCCCGCCGGCCGCAGTCGGGGGACGCGCGCGGCAGAGGGCGGCACCGGCACCGGCACCGCGCCGCCGCCAGCGCCGTATTTCAGGCAGTGTAAATAAACGCCGGCTGGCGTCGACCGACGGCGCCGCCAGCGCAGCCGGTCAGTGGGCCGCCGGCGGCCGAGCGACGCCATGGGCTCCGCGGCGCTGCCGGCGATGACGGTGTACGTGAAGGCGGGCGCTGACGGGCGACGGCCGGGCGCCTGCCCCTTCAGCCAGGCGGTGCACATGGCGGTGCTGGCGGCTGAGGCGGCGGGCTTGCTGACCTGCGGTGACCCGGTGCCCGTGTCGGTGGTGCGGCCGCCTGAGGCGTTCGCGCGGCTCGGCCTCAAGCACGTGCCGGCGGTGGTGTGCGGCCAGGTGGCGCTCGACAACGCCGACGACATCGCGCTGTACCTGCAGCAGGCGTTCCCGGGCGCCGGCCTGGCCTACGTGTGCCCGCAGGCTGAGCTGGCCACGGCCGGCGTCTTCTCTCGCTTTTGCTTCTACATGAAGGCGGTGAGCCGCGACCCCAGCCACCTGGAGGCCGAGCTGCGCAAGCTGGACGCCTTCCTGGCGGAGGCGCCCGGTCCGTTCCTGTGCGGCGCGCGGCTGACGCAGCTCGACTGCGAGTTGATGCCCAAGCTCCAGCACCTGCGCGTCGCCTGCGCCGCCATGAAAGGCTACACCATCGGCGTGGAGCTGGCGCACTTCTGGCGCTACATGCACTGCGCCTACTCGGAGCCGGCGTTCGTGCGCTCGTGTCCGTGCGACCAGGAGATCGTGCTGCACTGGGCAGACCGGCCCGAGACGGACAAGCTGTCGTTCGAGCGGCACAAGGCGCTCTCGCGCGAGAAGGCCAAGTACTCGCTGGACGTGCCGGTGCGGGCGGCCGTTTGCACGCTGGTGGACTGAGGCGTCGCCGTGTCACCGATCGCGGTGCTTCCGGGTGACCGCCCCGACCGCTGCGGTGGCCGCGGCCGCCCGGGCGCCCGGTCCGGCGGGCTAGTCACTCGTCAGTGCCGGTCCCCCCTCCCCCCGCACCCCCACACCCCTTGCCGCCGCCCGGGCCGCGGCCGGTCTTCGGCGCAGTCAGCTGGCGTCGGGACGGCACGTGACCGGCCGACCGGGAGCCGGCTGCGCCTCTTCTGCCCCGGGCACCGGAAACGCCGCCCATGGGTCGGCATAATCGCGCATAATTGAGGGATAGCCGAGCGCTGTGCGTGCCTTTGTTGCCGGCAGTGACTCAAAAAATGGCCGAGCGTGACCCCGTGTGGTCCGGTGGCCGACTTCCGTGATAGCGAGGTAGCCCGTCCCGCCCCAGGGCAGATGATGACCGGCTTGGTCAGCCGTTTGACTCATGTGCGCCGCCGAGCTTCTGATAGCTTGCCTGATATTTGAAGATCCGAACGGATAGCAGAGCTTATTTTTTTATAACGCTGTTTTAGGCTGCGGAGCGTCGTGTTCTTGTCCGCTATAACCAGCGTGGAACTGATGTGTTAATAAACGGCATTGATGCCTGGTCAATGTGTCTGGGCACCTTGTACATTTCACACCGTTTATGTCTTGTTGGAGTCTGTTCTGACATCCAAGTCGTGTTTTTTTCACGGCTTTGGCTTCAGTCCATATCCGCGTTTCCACACCCTGTCGGCCAAGTTTCTCGTGACATCGTTCTGTCCGCGTTTAAACGTCAGCGCGTCTGAGCACAGTTCGTTAAGCGCCGGTTTATCGACCGTTCGCCCGGCTGCGCCGTCGCGCGCCGTTTGCGCTTCTCGGTGTGCTCAGCTCACCGCCGCGACGGCAGCGGCGTGCAGCGCGTCGTCCGCTGCCTCCTCGGTGTGATCAACTCACCGCCGCGACGGCAGCGGCGTGCAGCGCGCCGCCAGCTGCCGTCGCGAGATCGGCCGCTCTACTTCAAACGCGATTCGGCGGCCGGAGGCCGGGGCCAGCGGCCGCGCCGGGGCCGGGACCAGCGTCACCTGCGGTGGCCGCGTGTCCGGTACCGCGCGCCGGGCCGCGCCGGGGCCAGGGCCGGGGCCAGCGTCACCTGCGGCGGCCGCGTGTCCGGTACCGCGCGCCGGGCCGCGCCGGGGCCAGGGCCGGGGCCAGCGTCACCTGCGGTGGCCGCGCGTCCGGTACCGCGCGCCGGGCCGCGCCGGGGCCAGCGTCACCTGCGGTGGCCGCGTGTCCGGTACCGCGCGCCGGGCCGCGCCCGGCTGCCAGCTGGACCCGGCCTGCCGCTGGCCCCTCGCTACGACTTTTGAGAGCGTGCAGCTGCCGGTGGGTTGTGGCGTGGGGAGGATGGGGACGAACACGTGTGGATTGGGTGGGCGCTGGTGCTTGTTTCGGTGGGTAACTGCGGAAGGGTGGCGTGGTGACGCACGCCCGTTAGAAGGCCTCGCCGGGCCGTTTGTGGTTAGATGGGCCGCCCGCAGGTCACGACCCGGCGACGTGCGCGCTTCCGGCGCCAGAGCCGAGGGCGAACGAACACGTTGTCGTTGGTGTGGTGGCCAATGTTGTCGGGATCGCCAACAGTCGCAGAACCGTGTAGTCTGCTGTCCCTAACTTGTTGCCTCTGGCTGTCGTCTGAAAAATAGCATGTTCTGCGCTCGAGGGGACTGCATTGCATACTGGTGGCTATGCGAGCTCCCGTGGAGACGTTCTTTGCTCGTCGTTCGCCCGTTTCTCTGGAACCACGCAGTGCGGTGGCCTCAGTGATCTGTAGTCTCGTCGCCAGTCCTGTCCTGGCGACGTCGTCACCGCCCTGTCCTTTATGTCAACGTCGTCGCGAGCTCGACGTTTGCGGGAGCGTCTCGCTGGTGTGTCCATTTGTCTCCGGGTGCTGACAGTGCGCTGATCTCTCTCCGGGTGCTGACAGTGCGCTGACCTCCGGATGCTGTCAGCGCGGCGGTATCCCACCGGGTGCTGACGGCGAGAGGTGCTGACAGTGCACAGGGACAGGTCCGTCGCTGGCGCAGACGGCTGAGGGGGTTGGGGGAGCGGTGCGGGTGACCCCACTGACCTAGATCACGCTCCCCATCGTTCACCGGCTGCGGTGCCGGCCAGGCGGCGTCTCGGGATCGTCCCTCCTCCCGACGGCCGCTCGTGTCCGCCGGGGCCATTAGTCTGCCGCTGACGCTGGGGCGTCCGGACGCGGTCAGCAGCGCACCGGCTGGTGGCGAGCGGTGGCGGCGGCGGCCGACCCCGCTCGGACATGTCCGCTCCTCCGCCGCGGACGTGAGACGGCGACGCCGACAGACCTTATTAGGCCTCCACCGTCCCGCCTCACAGGCCGTGCGATGACTGCGCAGTATCAGGATAGACGCCGTCTGCCGTGAACGGCCGTGGTTTGTCGAACTCTGAAGCAGGCACCGCCGGTCACTTTTGCACAGGGTTTGTTTACGTTTTTTGCTGTACCGGAGAAACGCCCGATGCGGCCGGCTATTGGTCTTTTCTCTCGTGATGTATATTCGTTCATATGTGGGCGCCCTGCTGGCTGTCGCACGTGTTCATGAATGCCCGTTGGTTCCGCTACTGCAGTTGAACGCAGTTTGTGCCAGCCTGTTGGGTCGCGGCGAAAACACCGCGGCCCGTGGTTGAAGTGTATCGGAACAGAACAACTCGGAGCAGGGCGTTGTCACGAGTCGTTTGGTCGTTCTGCAGCGGCCGCTGGAGCAGCAGGCGCTGCAGGACGGGTCCAGACGTGAGGCGCTGTTGGGGGCGAGACGTGTCTCCGCTGGCGGTGCTGACGAGCCTGATGGGTGAACTGATGGGACTGACGTGTCTGCTGGTGGATGAGTGTCTGTGGGAAGGGGGGGGGGCGGGTGGCGCTGGGTGGGCAGGCAGTGTTGTGTTGTCCTCCTGTGCCGTCGCAACGACACAGGAAGCCGACACGCCACCGTTGATTGGCCGGTTGTAACCAGGCTGTGCGAGTCCCTGCGTGCTATTCGGCGCCGCTGGTGTCTAGCGCACTTTCGTGGGGCGCGGTATGCGGAACACCGGGAGAACACCTCACCAATGAATGCCTCGGATGCCGGCCCGCCGCGCCGTGGCGCGGGCCCTGTGCAGACCGGGCTAAGCCTGTAATACGCTTAGACCGGCCCCTGCAGCGCTGCTTTAATCGAGCCGTTGCTGGTGATCCCGCTAGAGATAATCCGAGTGCTTCGAAGGAGTGCCTCGCTTCCAACCGCACAGAACTATGCTGCCTTTTTACTGAAACAGCCGAAAATACTGAACATGTTTCCCAAGTACATACAATTGGCGCCACTTCAAGCGGCAGAATGTAATCAGGTGTGTCAAGCATCCAGCGTATTTTAAGCAGCAGCTCAACGAACATTTTAATGGGAGTAGGATATGCTTAGTATGGGGCTTGCAAGTGGTTCAGAAAACAAAACGCTGCGAAGTAAGTTTCCGTAGTCGCACTTGGTCCGTCTTAAGACTGAGCTATTTTGCCACATTCAGCCACGTGATGCCACGCTTTCAAAATATACTACATCAAGGTGTCATATGAATCTATTCTGATGGCTGGGCCAATAGGGGTCAAAGTCATATACTGCTATTGTTTATTTGCACTGTTGCACTCTAGCCAACCAGTGCTTTAGATGTTTTCCCAAACGAAGATGTGCGGCTTCATTCACGAAACCGATACGCCTGTGTCATTGCCAACACCTGAGCCCAGCCGGCCCGGCCTGGCCTGCCCTGCTTGGAGGAGATCCAGCTGGCAACAGCAGGCGCGTCGTGATGCCGCCCTGACGTCAGAATACGGGATGTGTTTGCAGCCCAGCGTCCGGTGGACGCGCGAGCGGGATTGACGTCACATGCTATTCCAGGCCGGTGACGCGTGGTGTGACCTTTGGACTCTCATTCTGTCCTCTGGCCTTCGATCCCCCGGTTCTCTGGTCACCCGAGTCCTCGTGGTGACCCGTTACGTGGCCGATGCTCCCGGTGACCTGTCACGTGACCTGCACTCCCTGTGGCCCCTCGCCCACGCTGCCGCCTCCCAGCTAAACCATACGCCCATAGGGTCAGTCGGGTCATCATCCACCGTAGGGTGGTGGATGATGACCCGATTTCACGGCCTGAGCAAATCGTCGCCAAATTGTATGCGTTTGGGAGGCGGCCGTTGTGATACGGAAATCTGAAGTCATTAGCTGATGATGGGTGTGACTGGCGTCCGGCCTGGCCGCCGCCTTTGCTCGCCGGCATCGCTAGAGCGCAGACGGATGGCGGCAAATGCGCCAACCTCAGCGATGAGTGCTTCATCCCTCTACCCTGCACAAAAGACACGACCTTTTCGCTCATCCTGGGACAAACGTGGGTGGGGAAACGCAACACAGTGGTTGTACGATATTACATTCGCGTCAAGTGGTCAAGCGTTGTGTTGTGGCGTGATGTGTTCGCAATAGATTCGTTTGTTAGGTTAATTGGTATCTTTGAGTTCTTCCGCTACAGACTTAACTGCATGTTCAGGTGTGTGTTATTATCAGGATGAAACCCAGATACACCAGGACACGCTCCCTCTCGTGGTGATTAGCAATGAACCCGTGTCATTCCGTTCCGTTTGCGTATTTAGTTGGCTCGAGGTATCCACCTAACGAGGTAACGAGAGAAAGTATCATTTATGAGTATAATGTGTTTTGGCGCTGCTCTCGGGGAATGCCGTTGTATTTCATGCGTTGAAATGCAAATAACTGAAGTTTATTGGAACTGTTTGCTTTGATTGTGCACCTTCTGCCTGATAATGCATACATTTGCCGACCCTATGTGACCTAACCTTGCAGTAATGGCCGGCTAATAGGGCTCTGCCGGCGCCGTGGCCGTGCCGTGACGGTGTCTGCACGGCCGCTGCTGATGCCCCTGCACGGCGGCACATTGTGCGCGTGCACAGGGCCGCAGCTCCGCGCCTTTCACTCTCGCTCACGACGGCCGCCGCCTTCCAGCCAACTTCCTGAAGGCGAACGTTACCAACGCCACCTACCGGGCCGAGTGGGTGGCGCGCCAGGTCAGCTTCACCCGGCTGCACTACCTGGACGGTATCAACATCGACTTCGAGGACCCGGTGGGCGCCAAGGAGCCGGCGCGCGCCGCCTACGTCCAGCTGGTGAACGAGACGCGGCGCGCGCTCACGCGGTTCAACGTCCAGACAGTGGTGAGTGCGTCGTCTACAGGTGTGGGGCGAGGCCTGCCGTGCTCGTGAGGTTTGGTAGCGAAGGGAGAACGGCGGACTACTCGTCGAGGTGTAGGTGCTCCTAAAGCACACTGCTGTGCGGACAGTCGTGCGGGCCCTGTCGCGCGAAATGTGATGGCTGGCTCCAGCGGCTTGAAACGCTCCCAGTGTTGACGCGTAGTGTCTGCTGTCTGTCCAGCGACGATCGGCTCCAACTCTGTATGCACTTCCGGTGCATCCGTCCGCTGTTCCGACACATCCGTCCGCACATGTGACACATCCATCGGACTTGCGATACATGCGTCCGCACTTGTGACACATCCATCCGTACTTGGGACACATCCGCCCGCACTTCCGACAAGTCTGTTCGCACTTCCCACTCATTCGTCCGCACGTCTGACACGTCCGGCCGGCCACGCTCCAGCTCACAGTGGACGTGCCTTGGTCACCGGACTGCATCGACGGGCGCTGCTATGACTTCGTCGGCCTGCACAACTTCACCGACATGCTCTTCGTCATGGGCTACGACCTGCGCAGCCAGGTCGTCTCCAAGGAGTGCCTTGCGGGGTATGTCTGGAGGGGGAGGGGGCGGGGGGGCTCGCCAAGTGGTCACCTAGTGCCCCGTCTGCACGCGAAGGGGCCGGGTGTGTAATGTAAGAGCATGCATCAAAGCGTTCAGCAGTTTGTGCGAGGCTAGAAATCATGCGAGGTCAAACGTAAATGGTTCTCCGTCGGTTCAGAGGAGAATGTGAAAAATGACCGAAGGGCTCGAACCCTGCTTTAGTAAGCCGGTGCGTATATACGCTGAGTGTATCAGGGGTGATTCTGCATTGTTTAATTTACATCCATAATGCAGTATACGAATTACACTGCGGTCGATACAGTTGGGTATTGCTATTCGGTTCACCGTGGACGTGGTCACCGTCGCTGTCCGGCACGCATCGACTGAGGAGTCGGTCTTCTGTCGGCAGTGCCAACGCACCGCTGAACAGAACTCTGGCCGGAGTGAGGAAGTACCTGCAAATGGGCATCAGCGCCAACAAGCTGGTGCTCGGCGTGCCCTGGTACGGCTACGACTACCACTGCCGCAACGTCACACACGTAAGCCCCGTGCCCTCGTGTGGCGGGGACTTCTGGTGCCTGGACGTCTCTCGCTCGATCCAATGGTTGCATAATGTGCGCTTGATGTTTCAAGGAGGATAAAGAGCTATGAGGGTGAACATACACGGTCGTTGTTCGTCCATTGTGCATGTATGTAGCGAGACGGTCCACATGGCGCCTTTTCGTGTACGTGAATCAGCACTGAAAGCCGTGCAGTGACCTTATTCGCATGCGTGGGGATGATGTGAACGCGTATCATCACGCCGGCACATTTTAACACAAACAGTCTTACACAAACACATATGTAAACTCGGTGTGGCGTGACTGTTGGCGGAAAGGTAGCAGACCCGGTTCGCTCAGGAGCATGTAATATTTTCGCGTAGATGAGGTCATGCGTCTTCCTGCTATTTCTGAGGAAGCGCGTTTATGGACTCTTGCGTTACGTATGGCGCAGCCCCTTGGCTATTCAGGTGGTGACCCATGCTGGGGCGCTCGTCCGACCCGGTCAGGCGTCTGGCGCTCGTCGTCGGCCGTAGCCCCTAGCGGCATCTGTCGAGAGTGCCATCAACCTTCACTTCCCGGCACCGTCTCGTTTCAGAACGGCACTGTGTGTCAGATCGACCGCGTGCCGTTTCGTAACGTCAACTGTAGCGACGCGGCCGGCTCCGAGCGGCCGTACAGCCGGCTGGCCGTCTGGAACCGGTACGCCCTGCAGCGTTTCTGGTCCAACGACTCCCAGTCGCCCTACTTCAATGTCAAGGTCAGACGCGGGCCGGCGCGTGGCCGCGTAGCGTCGGGCGTGGTGCGCAGTGGTAGGATTGGAAGGGACTCGATGCGATGCGTTCTCTCCTATGGGATGGTGATAGGGCACAGTAGCTGCAGTTTGGCACGGAGGACGTCTCTTGTCAAATACTTGCTGGTATCGTTTCTCATGCCACTCCTGGATTGTCATCGGAGATATCTTGAGGTGAGCTTATGAACACTCGCCTTGGCGTATCCAGTAACCCTATGAAGGCCTGGAGTTGCATGCTTAGGTGGCGAATATTTGCGACTGGTGTTATGATCATCAGTGCGGTAGCCCCCAAGACCATGCAGTATGCACCCCTACGGTGTAAAGTATCATGCATCCGAAAAACACGCATTCGGATGGGGTACCGTAAGTTTTCAATATAGAGCTTCCCCCTTTAAATTTCTGTGGACCACTTCATTTCAGTGCGTTCCCCCTCCCCCTCCCCCAGTCACCCTTCACACCAGCGTTCCCGGTGACGCGACGCCTTGGCTGTGTGAGGGCGCGCGGTTCGCCGCGGCTCCACGCTGACCCCACTCCAACGGCGCCTCGTCCTCCCGTGCCGCAGTTCGAGGGCTGGAACCAGACGCACCAGGTGTGGTTCGACAACGCCACCAGCCTCACCTACAAGTACATGGGCGCGGCGAGCCTCAAACTGCGCGGTGTCGGCATATGGGCGGCCAACTTCCTGGCGGCGGGCAACTCGTCCGAGGACCGGACCGAGCGCGACCTCATGTGGGGCGCCGTGCCGCGCTGGAACTGGCAGAGGTCCGGCGGCGGCCCGCCGCCGTCGCCGCCGCCGTCCGCCGCCGGCCGGCTGCGCTACCAGCTGAGGTCGGCGGCCCGGCGCGGGGTGGTGCTGCGCCTGCTGGGGTGGCAGAGCCAGCCGGCCGAGCGACAGCAGCCCTGGCCAATCATCAGCGCCTGACGCGGCGTCAGGCGCTGATGGAGGCGAGGCGCGTCTGCTGGCGGGACTGACGGGACTGGTGGGTGGACTGAAGAGTATGATGGGACTGTTGGGTTGACTGATGGGTCTGGTGGGTTCACTAACGGATGTGATGGGCGAACTGATGGGACTGATGGGATTGATGGATGGACTGACGGGTCTGATGGAACTTACGGTTGGACTGACGGGCGGGTCTAATGGATGGACTGGTGGGTCTGAGGGATGGACTGGCGGGTCTGATGCGTCGGCTGGTGATACTGATGAGCGGGCTGATGGGTCGGCCTGACAGGGCATCCAACTGCAGCTGAGCAGCAAAGCCTCCCTCTGGCACGACTGTCCACGGTGGGACTGCGCAGCTGATGACTCTGACCTGTCCCGGCGCATGTGGTCTGCGGTTTGACCCGTGGCCCGTCGGAGGCCGCGTATGGAACCGCTACCCGTCTGGTCTGCAACGAGGCTGTGGACGCCGGCCCGATAGCCCCCAGTAAAACACCGCGGCGCTGAGATAGCCCCCAGTAAAACGCCGCGGCGCTGAGATAGCCCCCAGTAAAACGCCGCGGCGCTGAGAATGCGTGTGTCGAGGTGCCTGAGACTGATGCTAGGGTTGCAGCGGATGTGTGATCGAGGTGCGACAGCGGGACGAAGCCTGATGAGAAGCATGGACTGGTATTAGCATGACCAGTGATTTGGACCCATGAACCTTATCCCATCGTATAATGAGATCGAGCTTGCACAACATGGAGCGAAGACGGCATGCCAAGTTTAAATTGTTTAGGTATTAGAGGCATCGGTTTGCACAGTGTCTGACTGCCGATAAAGATGACTTTTACTTGTGATTAAGCGCCACTGATGTATGCATTAGTTCTTAACGTACATGTAGACAAGTGCAGGTGACTTTTTGTGTCGGTGACAGGTCTGCGCTCAGTACTGGAGTACCTAGCGAGCGCTTATGCGGATGATGAGGGTCCGCCCCTTTTCATTCCGTTCCCTTGGCTTTGGGGGCACCGGGTGCGTGAATGCAAAAACATGAACAGGTTCCGATGCTGTGCGTGATGTGCTTGAGATTCCCGACTCTTCCGAACGTTCGACTCAGGTACTGGTGGCTTACCGGCGGCGAGCGGCAGTCGTCGCTGTGCGCTCGCGCTTCTGGCTGAGCAAAGTTTAGTTTTAAGTTTCGCTGCCGCGTAGTTAAGTGTAGCTTATAGAGCGACGGCAGTGTAGTCCCGTTTCGTGTAATGGTGGGCGTGTGCTTCGTAGCACACACCCCGTGCTGCTGAAGACCCTGGTTGCGAGGCCCGGTGTTGGGAGCCCACCCCTGCCGGTCTGAGGCTGAGGTGCCCAGTCGCCACTCTAGAGTCGCGGAGTGATGACTAGTGGGCAGGATGCCAGGTCACTTGCCATGCATGGTAAACTTCCAGGGTAAGCACGGCATTGTGTATGTACTCCACGGTGTTTTGTGTTGCGGATGGGGCCGGCCGCACGGTCGGCTCATACTCGACGTCTCCCTTGCTGTATTATACTGGTTAAGTCGGGATGCGTCTGTGGTAACGCCGTATTCAGGGGCATTTTTGTAATATGTGTACATGCTGGCGGCGGTAAAAATGTTTGCCTAGGTGTATTGTCATCGGGATGACAATTGCTTTCGTAAAAAGCCATCTGATATAGCGCGTATCACTCCGATGCGTCATTTTCCCATATGTGGCTGACTGGCATTCGACAGGCTGGTGCGATAGGGAACTCGGGGCTTCCGGACGCGGCAGCCGTCTGTGTCTTTGTGACGCACGCCAGATTGCGGGATTTCACGCGATGATTACAAGTGTTAGGTGTGTCATCTGAACTGATGCTGAACAGAGGGTAGAGTGCTGTAAGCTGAGAGAGCGTGCCAAGTTCTTTCAAAATGTACTTGCCATAAGGAGGAATGAATAAACCGATATCCGAGTACGTGTGTGTGGTTATCGGCGCTGGTCTTCTGTAGTTGAGGCGTCATCAGTGCAGCGGCGCGAGAGACTTGGAGCCTCCTTGGCCATTTGCCGAACGCCGACTGATTGCACTTCGGCTCTGGCTCGGATTTTGGTATCCTGGGTACAACCCAAAGATCGATTGACTAGAGACCGTGCACATAAACGGGCGGCCGAACTTAAAATAACAGCAGGGTCACTGTTCACACGTCTCTTTCGGCCCACAACCGCGTTGAAAGACCGAACTTTTATGCTTGTTTTGTTATTTTCCTAAACGGACAATTGCCAAGAGTACTGCAGTCGCGTGTCACTGAGCACTGGCCCGAACCCCCACTATTCACTGATAGGTCCAAAGCACGAAGCAGAGCACTGATAAAGTTATTCAGGCGTGCAAATAAATTCTTGCATGCACCTTTTTATGCAGCAAGCACAGCTAAGCATTTTTACACACTAAAGCGTCTAAAGTTAAAAGGTGTCAAACCAACCAACACAGTGGTACCTGTATGCACACTACAGAAAAACTTGTTTCAATTTAGCTGCATGACATTTCATGAATGTATGAAATGCCCCAGAGTTGTCGACTGTTGTGTTTACTAATCCGTACCTTGCACGTCGTAGGGACGACGTGTGGATCTCGAGTCGAGTCAAGTTGATGTCGAGTGTCGGCCGAGTCGGGGGGAGCGGGGCGTTATTCTGCGTATATGTACAAATTGCAGTCCACTGCACCGTAGCTGAGAAGCCAGTCATTGCGTATTTGGAACATTGGTAATCGTTTGGGGTTGTGGGCGTGTTGTTTTCTGCTTGCTGCAGGATGTTAATTATGTAGACCCGCAGACTGGAGATAAGCCTCTATGAACATTGAATATTAGTTCCTATCGGTAGATACACCTGCCTTTGGCCACGATGGTAAGCATTGTCAGCTCACTGAGCCTATTTTTGGCAGCAGCTGTTATTTCATTATATGCTTGGTTATGTAATGTTCATGGTATTGGTGGTATCATAGTATCATCCTGGTATCACTGAGTTCATTTGCTGTTTGAAGTTGTCTCATGAATGGCTCAGCCTAGATGATAATCTAACCCCTAAGACTCAATTCAGTGATTTGTCTGTCAAAGTATTTTTATTTTATGCTATGGTTTTTATGTGGCTGTCTTAGATATTATGGATCTTGATCTGCAATTAACCTAGTCAGTCAAATGCCTCCTCTTTTATTGCTCACATTACTTGTCAAATCTTGGATGTATGGCTCCAGGTTATTGTATGACAGCAGTACAATATGGCTCAATATCTGGTGCTGCTAAAAGAGTAAATGCAACTTATAATGTCAAGAATGTTAGCTTCATCTTTGTTTACCAGCCTAATCTTTGCCTGTATTTCAGAGTTTCTTCGGCTTTGGTCAGGGTGCTGAAATTGACATCATTCTGGATGGATCTGATACAAGAAAAATGGCTGAAATGAAGTCTGATGATGGAAAAAGAGAAAGGTTTTATCTCTTTTATGATGGTGAAAGTCTTGCTGGCAAGGTATGACACAGTATGAGCATGGTTGGAAATAAAAAAGAAACATGTGTTAACCATATGCTGGTGTATAGAAAATGATAGCAGTTCATTTCTTGCACTAGTTTGAGGCATGGTTGCAGGCATAACACACTGCCTAATTCAAACCTACTGATGTAGTCATTATTTTTCTTGTCTTTATACAAAAGAAGCATCTTAAAATTATACTTCAAAATGTTGTTCACCATGGAACTCCATGAAATACATATGAGTCATTGAGATGACATACTATTCTACCATAGTATTTTGAGAAATATATTTTCTTGTAAAGAAATTCAAAACAGATAAAAAAGTATAACCAGTAAAAACTGAAAGATTAATTTGAGTTGCGCATGGGTTATGCTGGACCATACTATGTGTTATTCAGGTGCATCACCAGAAATTCAAACCTTCCATATTCACAGCTGGTGGTCTGGATGTCAAACAGATAGTTGAGGGTGGCCAAACAAATCATTTGTGACCAGATTGTTGAAACATTAGGATTGGTGTTTCCTTTATGGAAGATGATGTGAGGCCTTGTGTCCCTTGTTTTGTATATAGAATATGCATGCATGTAATATACTTATATGCTGTATGGGGCTAACAGCTACTCTGGGGCATGGCCAGAGGTTCCCCTCAAGAGCATGAGATCCAGGCCTTTCTGTGGTTTAGGTATATGTGCAGGCATAATATGAATATTTCCTTAGTGTATGGGAGTGTGGCCTTCATCCCATTCAGAATTTTTATACATACTTTTTAGAATTGTTGATGTATAGCAGTTGATGTATATCTTCCTAATGTTTGTGCCATAGGTTTGTCATTTATTTTCACATTTTCACTGTAATTGTATTGTATTTTATGAATGGTGATATCATGCATGTAGTTATTATATCATGCACTGCCTCAGGTCAACATCACTCTCAAAAAGCCAGGCTCAAAGCTAGAACACCATGGCATCAAGATTGAGTTCTTGGGCCAGATCGAGACTCACTATGACCGTGGCAGCCACCATGAGTTCCTCTCACTGGTGAAGGAGCTGGCACGGCCTGGCGAGCTGCAGCAAAATATCAGCTACCCATTTGACTTCAACCAGGTGGAGAAGCCATATGAGTCATATGCTGGCTCGAATGTCCGGCTCAGGTGCGTCATTGGAGAGAAGTGGGTAGGTTAGAGATGGGTATGCAAGTGCACTCAAGGCCCGTTATTGTAACCGAGACATGCCAAAGTGCATGAAATGGGTGTAAGAGATGGAACAGTTGTTGAGACTATCATTATTGTCTGGTGTGTTAGTGTGCACACAATGTTTGTGGACAAAAGGACGATGGCCCGAACATGTACTCCATCCCTGATACTGATGCCTTGTCTCAATTCTTCTGTGGAAGGGTTTGAGGGAGTCTATGGGTCATGCTGTTGTGTGTTCTTTGCCTAGTGTACATGGTACTATTACATACTTGAGCTTTCACATTTGATGCCACCGTAAGACTCGATTCAAGTCAGCTGTCACATGTCATGCCACTCTAAGACTCGATTCAAGTCAGCTTTCACGTGTGATGGCACTGTAAGAATCAGTTCAAGTCAGCTTTCACATGTGGTGCCACTGTAAGACTCGCTTCAAGTCAGCTGGGGTGCTATCGATGTTCTGATCCACGGGGATGCGTGGGGGCGGACCTCAGATTGGGCTAGCATGGCAGAGCTCTGGTGGTAAGCAGCGTCGCCCAGCGTGACGCGAGTGTCGTGTGATGTGGCGTGACGCGGTGGCCAGGTACGTGCTGCGCGTGACGGTCGTGCGCCGCCTGTCGGACCTGGTGCGCGAGATGGACATCGCCGTGCACACGCTCTCCCAGTACCCGGACATGAACACCAGCATCAAGATGGAGGTGGGCATCGAGGACTGCCTCCACATCGAGTTCGAGTACAACAAGTCCAAGTGAGGGTCCGACGCGGCAGGACGGTGGTGGCTGTCATGGGCTCTGACTTTGATATGCACAGGGTAGGCTGCCGTGTCAGATGTCCTTTTCTTTGAACAAGTTATTTCGTGCGTCATTTTATTGTAAGTACATGCAGATTTATATGAGCGAAGTGGCTCGATTGGAACTCTTATGGTCCCATCGATATCGAAGGCCTCCAGTCTCTAATCGCTGTCTTTGAGACTGTCACCAATTCCGATCTCGCTTTACTTCACCTCCGATCTGGCTATCACCTCCGATTCCAATGTCTCTCACTTCTGATCTCACTGTCTCACCTTTTATCCCACTGTCTTTTACCCCCAATATCACTGTCTCTCAGCTCTGACCTTACTGTACCTCACCTCCGATCTCACTGTCTCTCACCTCCGATCCCATTGTTTCACCTCCGATCTTACGTTCTTTCAGCTCCGAACTTACTGGATCATCTTCGATCGTACTGCATCACCCCTGATCTTCCCGTCTTTCACCTCCGATCTCACTGTCTCTCACTTTCGACCTCACTCTCTCTCATCTCTGACCTCATTGTCTCTCACCTCCGATCTCACTGTCTCTCATCTCCGATCTCACTGTCTCACATCCGATTTCACTGTCTTTCACCTCCGATCTCATCGTCTCACCTACAATCCCACTATATCAGCTTCGATCTTACTGTCTGTCACCTCCGATCCTACTGTATTTCACTGACGTCATCTGTATTGCCATGCCATCATGGGGAAGACTACCGTGTCAAATGTGCTTTGGCTGAAAATAATATTTGGCGCGTCGTGGTTTCTTGTATACGTGTAAATTTATGTCCGGGGAGCGGCTGGACAGAAGGTCCCTATAATCCCCGCTGTAGGCAACTGGTCAAGATCTACATCCTGTGCTAACGGAAAATAGTATGATCGAGAACGCAAACTAGTAAAGCTCATGCAAACACATATGTTTATGTTGCGATTTCCTTTAAGTCTTTTGCTATGATAGGATGCTGGTGTTCGTCTCGGCTGAACACGCTGCAGAGCGTTGACTGTGAGAGACTCGTGAGCTACCCGTGAACCAATCGGCTGTCGGCTTCTCAGGTACCATCTGAAGGATGTGATTGTTGGGAAGATATACTTCCTTCTGGTGCGGATAAAGATCAAGCACATGGAAATCGCCATCATCAAACGGGAAACAACAGGGTCCGGTCAGTATCTGCACCAGGCGTCACGACGAAGCCGGCTTCGGTTTTGCGCTATTTTTCGTTGCCGGCTTGGGCATCACTTTGATGTTGCGTCGTTTGAAACGGTTGACTACGCCTTCGACCTCGTAGCGTTTTTAACAGCTGGCCTCGGCCTCGATAAAGTTTGAATGATGGCTCCGGGTTCTGCTCCATCGAAACTTAGCTCGCTTTGACTGTCATGTTGACTTTCTGCTGTGGTTGGCTTCACTTCACAAGGACAGCATTGCTTGTATCGGTACTCTAATATACCACGCAATTTTGAAAGGCTATGACAAATACGGCTAAAACTCCAACTAGTCGGCCGTTTTTAAGGTCAATCGTGTGGAAAGTTCGAATCTGACGGCGGCCGGAGAACTAGCTGTCCGAAGCGTTGTGTGAACTCCGTGTGATTTTGCCTGATCCTATATAGTTTCAGCAGACGCGAAAAGGTTTTAGTTGCGCAAAGCTTGATTATAGACTAGATTCGGCTCTAGCTTCGGCCTCGGGATTTTTAAGGGATGGTAGTTTGGCCTTGGCATTGTGTTTTCTGGCTACGAAGTTGCTGTGTTCGGCTTCGCATGTGGAAAGTTTGAAGCCGCTAGCTTGGGATTTGGTTTCACGTTTTAAAAATACGAAGCCACTGACTTTGGCCTCGGATCACCTTTGCAGTTTCAAACCTCGATGGCTTGCCTTTAAGCCTTTAAACCCTGGCATTGTGTTAACTTGGGGTGCGGCTTCGAAACCAGAATCCCGGCTTCGTTCCCATGCCTGATCCGTCGGGCTCGGCTGGTCCGCCGCTCGTCTGCCCTGATCCGTCCCGCGGCCTCAGGTGATCTGGGCCTCCCCGCGCGCCCCCAGCCGCCGCTCGTCCGCCCTGATCCGTCCCGCGGCCTCAGGTGACCAGGTCTCCTCTGCGCGCCCGCAGCCGCCGCTCGTCCGCCCTGATCCGTCCCGCGGCCTCAGGTGACCAGGGCTCTTCTGCGCGCCCGCAGCCGCCGCCCGTCCGCGTTGGTCCGTCCCGCGGCCTCAGGTGACCAGGTCTCCTCTGCGCGCCCGCGGCCGCCTCCCGTCCGCGTTGGCCCGTCCCGCGGCCTCAGGTGACCAGGGCTCCTCTGCGCGCCCGCAGCCGCCGCCCGTCCGCGTTGGTCCGTCCCGCGGCCTCAGGCGACCAGGGCTCCTCTGCGCGCTCGCAGCCGCCGCTCATCAGCCTTGATCCGTCCCGTGGCCTCAAGTAACCCTGATACCGTGACCCGGGTCCCTCTGCGCAGGTCCGAACACGTTCAACGAGAACGAGACGATCGCCAAGTACGAGATCATGGACGGCGCGCCGGTGCGGGGCGAGAGCATACCGATCCGCGTCTTCCTGGCCGGCTACGACCTCACGCCCACCATGCGCGACATCAACAAGCGCTTCTCGGTGCGCTACTACCTGAACCTGGTGCTGGTCGACGAGGAGGACCGGCGCTACTTCAAACAACAGGTGACGGCTCGGCTCAGCCGGCGCCCTCGTGCGGGCCCTGGGGTTCTGAGCGGTGTTGAACGAGTGTGTACAGATTGTCTTGCATTGTGCGGGCTGCTCTGTTGTATTCTGTGGTAGAAAGTGGTGACAATCAGTGGCTGATGCTCGGTAGTCCGCGTCACATTTCCGCTGTTTGTCAGCAGGCTGTGCTTCAGTTGAGACGCGGCAGCAGGTGGATGTCCCAGTGCATGCCCCGCTGCACCGCTGGTCAGCCGTGGGATCCTGACAGTTTGTGCACGCCTAAACCGTTTACATCCTCCGCCGACATGATCCACCAATGATGATGATTTGTCATTATTATGATTTTGTATGTGCTGTAAGGTCCACAGGATGAATTTTATCCCGGATACGTCCTAGTAAATAAAGCATGTGGGAAGCATAGTTATAAGTGCACCCATGTCCCTGACACGCGAATGCACATGCACACGATACACCGCACTAGCTTACATTACGCCAGTCGCGAGTTCCGCTGACTAGTTGGACAGTATTTGACATTGCGTCCGGTGTGTAGAAGCGTGTGCCGACGGAGCGCCGCTGGTCTGCAGGAGATCACGCTGTGGCGGCGCGGTGAGCGGCGGCACCGGTCCCAGCCGAACCAGCCGCACCAGCAGACGCCCGTCACCATCAGCAGCATCCAGCAGCAGCTGGCGGAGGGCAACATTCAGCAGCGGCCCGCCACGCTGCACACGGTACGCAGTTCCGTTTGTTCGGCGCTTTCTCACTCTTCTTTCTGTCTGCTTCTGCCCGCCCCTTTCTCTTCTTTCCCTGTTTGTGGAATCGTGAATGGAGGCTTTTAAATTCCAAGTTGGTATGTTCTCCTGTCTAGATTTGTGCTGATATGCGAATCGCCACATCACTGTGTTGCAAGAAAAAAACGTTGCAATAAATGCTGGTCGGGTGTTTGATAGCGATGGCGACAGAACGTCAACTCTGTGCATGGCCGTCGCGATCTCAGACGGCAGACTTGGTCTCCGCTGTTTCACGGCGCTGCCTCGCTCTTCGTTTCACTCTGGTTCACTTCAACACTCGCTCCGATAACGCCTCTCCAGCTTTTGCTGGCGATGATGTACCGTGGGCTGCTGTTAGCGTGCGCCCCCCCCCCCCCCCCCCCCACCTACGTGATGTGTGTCTGTCGCTGCCTCGGACGTCTGTAGCCGCCCGCCACTGTCCTCGGCTGACCTGCGGTGGCCGCGCGCCGGCAGGGGGCGCAAACGCCGTCGGACGCCGGCGAGGCGGAGGGTGACCGGGGGTGCGAGACGCACCAGCCAGCTGGCGACACGGATCTCACTTCGCCCACGGACTCGGTCAACGGCCAGAGCGACTAGGTCAGGTCAGCGGCCGCCCGGCCGGCAGCGGCCGCCAGAGGCGCCACCTGTCCCACGGGAGGCACACCCGGTGTCAGACGTGTGCGAGCTCACGTCGGCGGGAGCTGCTGACCTGACCTGCTGGAGGTCCGCCCGGTCAACGGCGGACGGGGTGGCAGGGCTGGCTCCGGGGATGGCAGGCCGGCAGAGTCAGTCGCCTGTAGTGAGTGTTGCGTCGGCACTGTCCCAGGCCCGCACATGCCTGGACCGTGTCCGTCGTATACATGCGTACTGAGACGTGTAGTGCGACTCAATGGGCGTGTGTGACGTTGGCTGTTGTGTGTGCACTGAAGCTAGTAATGACTTCGCATGGATCTGTCTTGAGGGTATGTGAGGGTTGTTTGGGTTGTCTGCCTGCTGACTTGGCTGACGAGAACGCAATTCATTTATGATTAGATGTGCCTTATATGTTCATTTTTAGTATGCATATTGTTTGGGCTCACGTATGCAATTAACTGTTTGAACTCTGCGGGGTCATATAGCCACACACAGATATGTATGTTGCGGCGCGTTGAGTGAAATTATGTTGCCTTATCTTGGTATAGCACTATTACGGACAGGCTGGCATGTACTCTTATACCACCAGTGAGCGGGAGCCTCTTCAGCCCATTCTGTCCGGTTGATAAGAACGCTAACCCGAAGCGTAGGGTTGAAAACACACGATGTGGTGAAGTACTGCTGCTTTTATGTAACCTTTCTGGGTTGTGTTTGCCCGAAATGAATTCGTGCATTTCAGGTGTTACTGTGATAATTTCCGAGCACTTTTTCAGACAAAATGCCAGTGGTGATAAAAGGCCGGAATAAAAGCAGATAAAGTTTCACTACATCGTAGTTCATTTACTACTAGTCCCCGATTACTAGATTCCGGAAATCGTAATGCACTAAAAGTGCTTGCCAACCCCATGGTCATGATCCATCGGGTTATTTCAAACGATTTTTGATGAACCACGCTGCTTGACCAACCAACAGCGTTCATAAAGCATTCTGCTATTCAGTGAGTTTCACGACGCTTGGCATCGGTGTGAAGCGGTGCCAATGCCGTAACACATCTAGTAATGACAGCATTACGATTGGGTGAAAAGCCCTTGGTTTCCATGTGACTTTATTTGAACTTGTGCTCAACTTTGCACTTGGTTTGAAATAACGGCTTGGTACTGAAATTCAACTGCTCATCTTTTTAAGGAGATATTGCCCGCAGTAATAGCCCTTTTCCTTGGAGAAAAACCAGGAGAATGGAGATATAGATGGATTGATATTTCGATAACATGCCTTTATCGAAACAATAGCAAGAGATAAAGGCATGTTGCCGAAATACCAACCTTTTATGTCTTTTCCCCGGGTTCTTCTCCGAGAGATATTGCCCGAGCGGTCCTGGGCAGCGAAGGGTTCACTCCCCATACAATATTCTCCATTTCCATTACTCAGTGGTGGGATTTAGTTCTCGTACACATCGTGGTAAGTCTCTACGGTGGCCGGCCGCGTCCCTAGTCGAACTACTGTGATGTCATCCACAATATGACCTTGCACTGAGAGGTACGTATTTGCAGCCGTGAATGCGTCATCATTTGTGAGCCGTCGGGTCCGCCTCGTGCCCATGCACCGAGTACTGATGTGATTCTATATGGGGAGCGCGGTTGTAGTGACGCCCCCCCCCCCCCGCCCCTCCTCCCCTCCCCTCATCCCTGTGAGTGGGCGTTGGGTGGGTGCATAATGGCGTAAGCACATGCATTCCTGATTCCAAGGCGCCGCGCCGAGACGAGGCGACTGACCTTTGTATCTGGTGGCTAGATTGCGGACCTGGCCTCCGGTCCACACTGGCCCATCCCCTGGTCCGGACCAGCTGGTCTTCCGGTCCAACAAGCCGTCTCTCGGTCCAGACCCGTCGGTCTCCCGGTCCAGACCCGTCGGTCTCCCAGTTCAGATCCGTCGGTCCAGTGGTTCAAATGTCATCCAGTAGTGTGTGCAGGATGCAAATATAAATTCGTGCTACCAGAATCCTGGCTCTCTGGTGGTCCACGCACGCAATTCGTTGGCGCTAATCCGTTGTCTTTTGACCCCGACCCAGAGATCTGACCTACTCAGCCGATTTGTTACGCCTGGGGCGCATGTGTACTGGTTTGACAGCCGTCTGTCTCGATGCTGATTGGCCGATTTTGAGCAAGGGGAGAGGCCATAGGCAGTGAGCCCAAAGCCGGGGTGTTACAGCATGAAAAAATATCAACATACCGGCCACCCAAGTGGCCGAATATTGGAGCATTGCGTCGGCCTCACGGTCTAATCAGCCGGTCGCCCGGCCCAGACCTGCCGGCCGCTCGGCCCAGACCCTCCGGTCTCCCGGTCCAGATCAGTCGGTCGTCCGGTCCGGACCCTCCGGTCTCCCGGTCCAGATCAGCCGGTCGCCCGATCCAGACCCACTGGTCCTCCGGTCCAGATCAGCCGGTGCCTGGGTCCAGGCCAGCAACGTCCCACCATCGTCAGCAGACCGCTGTCGGCACTGGCGCAGGTCGACCGCGCGCTCCCGACCGGCCGCCGGCGGCGGACTGGACCCTGCGATGTCCCGGCAGAGACGCGCCGCTGCTCGGGCCGCTCGGCTGCGATGGGCATCGCGAGCGCCACCGCACGTCGCAGCGCCATTGCCGCAGTCATGTCAATGGTCGGCGTTTTCTGTTTATATTCTCGAGGATGCCATCGACAGCGCCGTGTGGTCCGCGGACGCCTCACGTTGGGTGGGTCTGGTTTTGAGTAAGGTGGAACGATGGAGGACGGCCGGCACCGGTCCTTCCCCTGGGTGACAGCCATGCCCCTGTGATCGTGCGTTGGCGCCGACAGCGCCCCGCCGGTGAGCCGGTTCCGATCGATGCCAGGCCGATGGGTCGTGTCCCGAGGAGGTCTCAATAGCCCCTCAACAGTGGTGTTCACAGGTCAACGGACATTGTTGGCCGCATGCTTCCACAGGCACGTAACTATTCAACGATGCTTTTTTCTACTACATGCTTCTGCAGGCACTAAGATGTGGGGCTTAGTGTGTGTGGGGGGGGGGGGGGCAAAGAGGTAATCTTCTGCTAGCTCCTCTGAATTGGACCGAATTCGTGCGCAATCGTCCAGCATCAAGTGCAGACCTGTTGGCCCAAGGACATGGCCCTGTACACACTTTCCCAGCCCTCCCCCCTCACTACGTCCCAGACTTGTAACGGGCAAGAAAGTTTGGTGCTCGTTGCTTCGTGCCGATTACCAGGCAAGCCTATCTGAGCCCCCTTGGGACATGGCCGTCGGTTTGTCACTGATCCACATGACTTCTCAGGCGATGCGATCTGATCTTTGTCAACGACCCGGTTGTGTGTTTGGGAGGCACGTCGGGCGCATGTTGCATTTCTAGATTGCGGCACAGGCAGTGTGGCAGGCACCCAGTGCTGATGCTTGAGACACGTGTTCGGTGGCTTGCGTGTGTGGCTGGAAGACACGTGCGGTGCATGGCACCTGTGAATATCATGAATAAACGGCTTTTCAGCGTCTGTGTCGCTGTGCCGTACAGCGCTTCCAGCGATGGCTCGGCGCAACAGTTCCTGCAAATTCTGTGTTTTTAGCACGAGGAAGGGCACACGGAAAGTCAGCATGTTACCGACGTGAACATGTACAAATGATGCGGACGAGGCGATAGCTTCCTTCGGCGATGCTGGGATTGTGAGAAGCTGGTAGTACGGGTGAGAGACTGACGGAACGCACCGGTCTTACCTGGAGCCAGGGGTTGATATCGGATCACGTGTTTGGCCACAAAGGTTCCGAACATTGTCATGTGCTCGGATACAGGCGTTCCTGACATTAGTTATCGATTAACACGCCACCAAGACTCATGCATGTTTGTTATGCGGTTAAAAACCAGTGCGGCCATTTGGCTTAATGGAGTGCAACATCCATTATACTAATGTGGTGTCTGTTTCTGTTGTCATTCTATCTTCTAAAATAGGTCGGTTCGGAGAAGCGGAATGCCTAGCATTAGTTGTTACTGCATGAGATAATGTTCCACGCATTTCTGTCGTGATACGCAGATGAATTCGATAGTGAGAGAACTGGCACATGAGTCGAAGGAGATGTGCCATCTTACTGCTGAAAAGTTACGAGCACCTCTAACAAACATGTCGTTTTCTAAAATTGTTCCCGAGTCTCGTTCAAGCCCTGACGGACGAAACGGGGTATGATGGGTATTATCTCGTTAGAGCTTCACGAGCCGCGCTGTCCTGGACGTCTTCGGAGATATCCTGCACAACCCACGCTCGCCAATCGGGTGATGTTTATCAGAGACGGTACAGGCAGGCGTGGCGCGTGCTCCGTCACAAGAGGCAGGCACGCCTGTACCCTTCGCCAGCTCTGGGTCTGCGTCACTAGGTGATCATACACTCCAAGCATACGTCACTTATGGTTGTTTAGGGCCTGGCAGGCGCATGTGGATCTTGATACGGTGTGGGATGCTGTAGCGGCTTCGAAGTTAGGTGCGTTTCAGTCAAATATAAGACAAGGTTTCAAATGGCAATATATATTATAATTACTGTATTATAAAAACACCTAACACCAGCCACTGAAGAGCATGTAAGCACTGATGATGGGCGTGATATAACAATGACAAGCGTTGATGAGTTCGCCATGGACACAGAAGACCCTCAATCTTCTGGCGAACACAGGAGATCCTCATTCCTCCTCTGGTGAACACTGAAACAGACGCGCAGTCTTAGTATTCCATATTTGCTAAGGATAACCAACATATTCAGGTTTTCCAGATGTACGTTTTAGAGCCGTTGTGGGATTCTGTCAAGCGCACGGACGCAGGCCAAGTTTCCCTTCACGACAATTAGCCTAACAATGTGCTGGTTCAGCGGCCAGGAACGGCCCGAACCGGCCACTCACACTTTCGGCTCGCCTATGTCTTGGCAACCAAACAATTGTAACGTCATGGAGCTTGTTCTGTTCTGGACGGTTGACATGATTTTTAAGACGTTTTGCCGCAAAACTGTCAATGTATATGCTTGCAAACTTGATTGACTGGACTTGGTTCTCATGCAGGAACGTAACATCACGAATACTTTAACAACTCCTGTTCGATTAACATGGAAAACGTTAATTCCGAATTTGCAACGATGCTGAAGAACACGGGTCGAAACCGGTTTCCGATGACCACGACCCCGGGTGTCAGCAACACTCGACCAACAACAGTTTGAAGCGGGTGGCAACAGGCAGTCGCATTCATAAAACTGCAGGTCAATAAAGTACTGGACTGCGCGCATTCAAGCGCAAATGAATGATCCGCTGGGTTAGCGCGATTTTTAGGGATTCGCTTCAGATCTTAGCAACGTCGGAGATCGGAGAGAGAAAACGCGACAGTATGGGATTAAATAAGACAAGCCAAGCTAGGACATGTCAGCAAAAACGTCACTCGCTCCAAGTTCACCAGCTCTATTGGCTGGAACTAGCGGGACAGGGCCGGCCTGCAGCCAGCCTATTTTCAGGCAGTGTGGTTTCTAAACCTGGGCATGAACACTGCTTATGTGAACCTCTGACGAGCTTATGGCAGATGGACACTAATTCCGTTAGTTTTAGAACGGCCATAACATCACTGCACTAGTAATGCCTATTTGTATGGGTTCCCAAGGGTGATTGGCACAATCCGCTTCTGCATGATGATGCGTAACAGCGCTCCATCCACCCGATGCAACGAAATGCGAGTTTTTTGGCAAAATGTATGATATAGTTGTCAAAAAAGTTGATTGAAGGGAACGTTCCACATTTGTATCGGGTTAACTGAAATAGATATATTGAAGATCACCCTGCGCGGTTCACCGCCCTGCCCTTCTTAATACCTAAATCTCTCAAGTTTCTGAGGTACACGTCCGTGAATAAGTGCAGACTATTTTGGGGGAACTATTTCAAGGTGACTCTGGCATCTATCTTGCCGCAATAACGTCATTCAAATCCTGTCATTTCCTTGTCCATGCGGCGAGTAAGGGCAAAAAATAGCATTGACGAGTCGTTCGTATCTAGCGTTTGTGAGCACAATTTCCAAATACACTGTCCGTCAGTTGGCTCTCAATTAGTGTTGTGCAAGGTATGGTGACCCAATCAAACAATGAGGTGTGGGGGGGGGGGGGCATATTCACTAAAAAAAGAAATTTCGATGGCTAGAGCAGTCTTTTCCAGTCAAAATTACAGTAATAATTAGAAGTGAGCTTATTTCATTATATCTGATACTTGCTTTAATATCTTCAAATGTGGAGCATTTCTTAAAGATTGAAGAATATTCTGAGGTCTATAGGATGGGATGTCCATGCCATGCAGCAAACATCATAGCAACGATTTAGTAGGTCCTTCATACGAGTGCAGGATGAGCTCCGATCTTTGCTACGCTCTATGTTGAAATGGTCCGTATATCTTCCCTAACCCGGCCCATTTTGCTAGTCCCATGACTCCTCAGAAAATAAACACAAGGGGAAGCCCCGACGCCAGCCACCAGGCGCGGCCACGCACCAGCCCCGCGGCAAACTCACAAAGAACTCGACGAAGCAGATGTGCCCGTCGTCCGTCTTGATCATGTACTGTAGGCAGAGGAAGCCGCGCGCGTCCGTGCGCAGCGACACCTTCTGCGACTGGGCGAGCGGCTTGCCGGACAGCTTCATCATGGCGAGCCGGTAGCGGCTGCTGGAGGTGCGCGGACACTGGAACAGCTCCACCAGCTCGCTGTCGCCGCCGATCTCCACCTGCGCAGACGCACGCCCACTCTCTGAACTCGTCACAGCAGCGGACACTGGAACAGCTCCACCAGCTCGCTGTCGCCGCCGATCTCTACCTGCGCAGACGCACGCCCACTCTCTGAACTCGTCACAGCAGCGGACACTGGAACAGCTCCACCAGCTCGCTGTCGCCGCCGATCTCCACACGCACAGGCGCACGCGCACTCTCTGAATTCGTCACAGCAGCGGACAATGGAACAGCTCCACCAGCTCGCTGTCGCCGCCGATCTCCACACGCACAGGCGCACGCTCACTCTCTGAACTCGCCACCGCAGCCGGCGTTCGGGACATCGGGCCTCAAGGTGAAACGCACTCACGCTGATGGAAAACCACTCCTGTGCGTTCACAACGAGGATAGGACGGTACCACGCATGCCTTGACACTCACTGGGGGTTTCTATGTTCGGTTTCACGCCTTGCTGTTACTGTTTAAAGCACCGTATCCCTCACCAGTGATAACTCAGCTTAAGTGCAGACTACGGTGCCGACCACGCACCTTGGTCTCCATGCCAGCGCCGACGGCGGAGAGCTGCAACCGGGGCGGGCTCGGACAGAACACCAGCTCCATGACGTCACAGTCGACGTCCATCTCAGCCAGCGCCTCCCGTAGACAGTCGGACCTGCGTGACCCCGCCCGGTCCCGTTAGGAGGGGCGGCGCACGATCACTGGGCTCGTGCGGCCACTGCGGCACCGCTCGCGGGTCCAGGGAGCCGGAGTGAGCCGTGGCATGTGGTCTGGTGCGTTATTCTGTTAACAGCAAATGATGCGGATCCGATCGCCTTTCAAGAATGCTGGCTGACGGATGACAGCAAGCTGACTTGTGAAATGCAGCCGTGAAGAACTAGACATGTGATCTCAACATAAAGAAGTGTGGTCGCGCAATGGTACTTGACAATCGCTTTGTTGACCACATCTGAGCTGTTGAAGCTGAACTCCATGATGTCTTCTGGCAGTTGCGTCTTGATAGAGCAATCTGTGAGGACGCCACTTTCTTCTAATCTGAGGAGGAACCCCAAAACAGCTTATAATACTTTGCTAAGTAACATTCGAGAATGACCAATTCAAATATTACAAAGTGCATCAAAAGTTTGGGAGGGCACCTGCTACACCTGAATGCACTTTACAGATGACATTGCTTTAGGACACGGAGCCCCGTAACTCATTGGAGTCCAGCTCCATAAACTGTTTGGTGCAGCTTGCAGACTTATGCAATGCGCATCACACTAATAAACACATACCTCTGCCTAGTTCATCATTGCCAAGAATGGTATCATGCAAACCACTCTCAAGCTTAGTTATTGTGTTTCAGGACAGTCCCCCAGCCACATGTAGGCATGAATGAGGTTAAAGACAAGAACAGTGACATGGCCCTCCATAGTGCCCACCCAAAAGGCATGTTGAGCATTTCTTTATAACATAATCATTTACCAAAACCACAAATTTCAGTCCATATAATTTGACTGCACACACTCCAGCACTGACACTATCACCAGTGGATGGCCTTCACCAGCATAACACATCTTCAGGGCAGTGGTGGCACCTGCAGTACTGCCTGAACCAAAAATGTTCAAGCAATCCAACAGGACTGAAAGATTTATCTTGAATGATAATGTCTCTTCACTCAGCACAAATTGCTGAAACACAAAAAATGAATGCAGTAAAAACATGCAGCAAACTAGTAGAGCATTCAACATTGCAGTGTTAACTGTCAGGGATGGTTATAGTGTGATTTGACATGCCTTCCAGGCCCCTTACATGGTGATTCAAGAGAAAGCATTATAAGGAGCAATGCTGCACACCCAACAAAGGTGTAACACCAAATCTGCAAATTGGTGCATGATTCAGAGCTCACTAATGCATATCAAAACAAGGTCTTATTTTCTCACAATCTGTTCCTGAAACATACCTTTCATTATTAACATCCATGCAAAATGCATACCTGGAACATATCTGCTTGGATGAATGCATTGGCCTGGACACATTTACTGTCTTCCACAGTAACCTTCAGCCCATCCGATGTCACAACAACCATTGCACTCTGTAAACAGACAAACATCGGTGAAGAAGTGACCCACATGTGATCTTTCCAGTAGGTTCCAGTACGTTTTTATATGGTTTTGCAATATGGGACACAACTCAAATTTGTTCACTGTAAAACTAATAACAATACATCACAGGTGTACAAAACATCTTGCATATTGCATATAAAACACTGCATTCAATCTCAACACATACATAAATGCATGCATAAATATGATGAGATGGCACACTCTCCCTTGCCCCCTTGCATGCACCACTTTTCCTGGTTCCTGGACTGGACTACTGTGGTGGGGCAATATATGTGCAAGACATCTGCCGAACACCCTATGAATCACACAGTACTGATGCAAGCGTAACACAACATTCACACAAATGTACAGCATTCACAGGCCCGTTTTCAGAAGGCCCAGTGTCCACAGCTTGACTGGCAATGAAAATTAATAGTGGTAGCCAGCAATTCAAAATACATCAACAGAAATAATGGACCACGGTGTTGTTGCTACCACCAATGTCCGCCCATAGGGCCCATGTTTCAGGGAATTTAAATCCTGCTAGTTAGTTTTGGCACAAGTACTAGGAAAACAATTCCAACACAGAAATAATTTGCAAAATTAGAGCAGGTTGGCGTGGCCTACATTCAACAGGTACGAACAGAAGGTTCAGCGCACCAACATCACGTTGGCATCTAGCTCAATGAATGGATTTATTGCAGACTGGCCATGGCACCGCTTTGATAACCACCCTACCTCCCTAAAATGCACAGCCTTCAAAAGCTGGGAAACATTCTTCACATTATCGATCTTCGCGACCAAAACATTTTGTTTATCCTCTTCTGCTTCTTGTGTGTCCAGCATGGTTTCTCCTATGTTACCCTGCTTTTTGGTTCTGGAAGACAGCACGGCCCCTTCTGTGTCTTGAGCGGGCGCGGTCCTCGCAAGCACATGCAGGGGCCCTGCGCACACCCCCGCTTACGATTGCTACTGCACTGCAAAACGTCATATTTTGTAGTAAGCGCGTGGTTGGTGTATCACTATTATGGCCGTCCACATGTTGTTAATACAAAATAAATAGACTTACATGGATTAAGGCTGCAGACTTCTTTAAGATTATTTTTCTTTGAGTTCAGTATCAAAATTTGATAGTAAAAATGTGAATCCATGAAATCCCGATCATTATTGCTTAATAGTAAAATCAGCTGAACGTCAACTTTTTCCGTCGGCATATACGGCGCATGTAGGATTTCCAACTGCATTTTCTTGCACGAATCGTCCCTTTTGCTGCCTCGTTCGGATCTTTTCTATCCGGCTGGTTCCCTAATTGAGGTAATTTGTATAAGCTTGGTGGGATTGTTTGCAAAACGCCTGTGTGCATTACTCTAAATAGTAGTATTTGTGTGTGGCATCGAAGTTGCAACCTCAATTTGTTCTGGTTTTATTCATAGTCTTGTTCCGGCTATTTTTGGTGAGCGGAAACTTCGGTGGGATGAGATACGACACCTGGGGGGCGGGCAGATGTGGAAGATAATATGTTAGGGTGCTCACCTGATTGGTGTTATTTAGTGACCAGAACCAGGTTCTGTCTTGATTCATGAAGCATATTTTTACATTGTGAAAATTAGAGAGTAGTATTAGTAGTAATTAGTAAAGCTTTTCATGTTGTTCTTACCCCAGACTGAAAAACATGTGTTAATAGTACCCATGTGTGGAGCAGCAGCAGCATCCCCTTGTCTATTTTAGTGCATGCATGCAGGCACTCAAAGAGGCCCAAGTTTATCATACAGCTAACACCAATTTCAGGGCACTGCAATCTGATGTTGGAAGTATTGATAATGTTTCCAAGGTTATTATGTCAAAGTAACATTAACATTCAGCCATAAGTCATTTCAAAGCTCAGTGTTCACTGACCTGGTATCAGTATCTGAAATTTGGTTTAAGCTCTCAGGGGAGAGAGCAGAAATATTAAGACCACAGCTTGAAGTGAGAACAAAATAACTGGAGTAAATTTGCACCACATGCACAGGGGGCACTTAAGGGCATTCTTTGGCAGCAGATAACAGTAAACACCATACTCTAGCAGGTCTCAGTGATTGCCAAAGACCACTAGAAATTGGCTGCTTGCAATTCTTAAATTTTGTATCTTCCTAAGTAAGTGGTTCATTCCTAAGTCTATGGAATGGGAATGGGGAAAAGGTAGACACACTACCATGCCTGTACCTACTGTATTTTTTAAGCTGATGGAGTTTTTTTAAGCTGATAAGATGATGGAGTTGATGGAAAGTTGTTGATATTAAGATCTGGGACATGGTATTTATGATGTGAAAGATGTATATGTAAAAATGTATGTATATGTATAAAGATGTATATGTATATGTAAAAAATATGAGATCATGGACATAGTGTCTACCTTCTAGCCAAGGTGCAATCTTTTTCACCCAGGGGAACTGGGCAATGTGATACCTGCCTAGGCTCTCACTGACCTAGATGTAATTCATTTGGGAACAAGTGTGTAGTTCCCCATTTAACTGGATAGAATACTAGCCCCTCCCCAACTTTGATAAAAAGCTTGGTCAAAATCAGGGAAAACATGGTTTGCACCATTTCTTTGGACTCAAAGATTTCTCCGCTCAGCCCTCCACAAAGTAACGTACAAAACTACACAACCTGTGACATCAGGCTGCTGCGTGATCGGTGTCCAGAGGCCAACGTAGCAGGGGCGGGGAATTATCTCCTCCTCACAGAGCAATCTAACCTCATAAAGTTAGCATCACTACATCTACTCGCTGGCATTGGGTCTGATACAATACTTTTCTCAGTGTATGACACTGAGCTAAATTTATATATTGCCTCCATCTACACCACTAACCAGTTGCGGGCTCATCCAAAGCAAGGTCAATAGGCTACACCACGCAGATAATAGCAGTTTTCAATGACGGGGCTGCAGTAGGCTATTTGTTGGTTTTGATATTGTTTTTCAGGATCTTATTGATTTTGTAAAAGATGTTGGCAAAACCTGGTTGAAATATAAGGCAGATCTCAAAAGACACAAATAATCATATAATTACATCAGTAAAAGTTATGCTCAATGGAGAACAAGAAACTCTGTTCTAGCTATATACTCAGATCGTGATTCTGTGGCGACGCTCTGTAGATCGATAGAAAAAATTATGCTTTTGTTTAATCACCCTTTTATGCATTTTCATTGTGTATTCAGTTTAGATTTTCTGGCGGAGAATATGCCTTTTCTCGAACGCGAAATCCTCCTCAAGAGCCGGAGACTCGCGGAACCGTGGTTTTCCGCGTGCCCTAGACAGTGTTTGGGATGGTGTTTGATGTCACCATTATATGTTCTATACTATACCAATTTTTGACAGCTTCAAATGTAACATTAATAAAAGTGTTGTTAAATGAAAAGAAAATAATTTATTCATCAAGATGTGATGAATTCACCCTATATTTCGATGTACATGTAAGTGTAACATCATATACTTTCGTATAAATTTTTCTTGTGCACAACTATTTCTAAGTGCAACCCAGAAATGTCGAATCATGCCATGTACAATACATTCTCTGCGCTTCTCCCGGGTCCGTCAAGCGACGCTGTTGTTGTTTTGGGGTCAGGTTTTGGCCCGGTTTATTAGCGCGTCGGTGTAGTTATTGGATGGTAGGTAGGTTAAACATGTGCTGGTGAGCAACAGCAGACCTGGGCACTGAATGTATTGCAAGGAAATATTATGTATGATATGGTAGAGATTCGGCTGTAACCCGCAAGCAGTATCCGTCGTTCAGTCGTGAGTGTGACGCGTGATGCTGTCGAAGTTGCAGGAACAGCTTGCCTCCATCGCCCACAGAGAAAAATTTTTTACATCCCTTCCAGTGTGTATTTGTGGAGAACAAAATGTCATGCGCCTAAAAACACCAAGAAACACCTGGGTTTTAGACATTGCCTGGCATAATTATGGTGCAAACATGATCCATGTCCAGACTGCATAGTATACATGATATGGAGAACATGTCTGGTGCGGCAGCTACATTGCAGCAACAATTTGATTGCAAGTACACAAGTGTGAGGGCCTATGGTTTGGTACACAGTGGCCATCAGTTTTAGCACATTGAGTTTCAGTGTTTTTAGTTATTATGTTTTGAAGTTTTATGCAAACATACTCTGAAAACACATCACAAAAAACAATTGAAAATTGGTGCAGTTATGTCTGCCCTAAGTTCTCTGCACAAAACAGCTGCTGCCCATCTCTTCCCAAGGCCCTTATTAAGATGATGTTTATGAATAATGTAAATGATGAAATGAGCATAAGTTATAGAACAATACACTTTGTAGGTAAAACAAGTAGATCAGAGTAACTGGAATAGTAAGGAACGATTATTATGTTTAACACTAAGGTAGTTCTGGGTGTAGTTAAGTATATTATATCAGTAATAAAGTGAATCTGAAAACAGAAAAGTGTTACCAGAAAATTCGTAACTTGTGCATAGAAGTAGTGGATATGTACCATGAGCAAACACAATAATTCAGAGAATGTCCTGATGGTCTTGTTTATTGGGATGAATCATGTTAAAAATGTTGAAATTAGCATAGAACATAGAATGTATAAACACAAAAAAGTCTGACTAAACCATGTTGAAAATGGCAAAATAAAAGTTAAGTGTAAAATGGACAGATGTAAAATATGTGATAGATAGTTATGTTTCTTTGACATAGTGATACTTTCCTGGAACTAAGCTCTAGCAACATGTGTGTGGATTATGGTTGTCCAGTTCTCCGTGAGACGATATCGTGGACATTGTCATGGCACGTTTTTCAGAGATGGTTCCGGGTTGTGAGTGTCCAGTCCTCCGTGAGGCGACATAGTGGACAATGCTATAGCGCGTCTTTTCAGAGATGGTGCGGGGTTGTGGGTATCCAGTTATCCGCGAGACGACGTAATGGACATTGTCATGACACGTCTTTTCAGAGATGGTGCGGGGTTGTGGGTATCCAGTTATCCGCGAGACGACGTAATGGACATTGTCATGACACGTCTTTTCAGAGATGGTGCCGGGTTGTGGGCATCCAGTTCTTCGTGAGACGACATAGTGGACATTGTCATGGCACGTCTTTTCAGAGGTTGCTCCTGGTTGTGGGTGTCCAGTTATCCGTGAAACGACATAGTGGACATTGTCATGGCACATGTTTTCAGAGATGGTCCCAGGCTGCTGGTGTCCAGGTCTCCGTGAAACGACATAGTGGACATTGTCGTGGCACTTGTTTTCAGAGATGGCTCCGGATCATGGTTGTCCAGTTCTCCGGGAGACGACATGGTGGACACCCATGGCACGTGTTTTCGGAGATGGCTCCGGATCATGGTTGTCCAGTTCTCCGGGAGGCGACATGGTGGACACTCATGGCATGTGTTTTCAGAGATGGCTCTGATCCGGTCAGCACTGCGCCTGAGCCGCGCCCCGGCGCTGCTGGCTCAGGCCAGCCGGGGCATGGCCGAGATGCCGCTCACATTCGCGGCTCCTAGCCAGGTCTTCTACAACAAACAGGACGTCCGCCAGGTGGATGTGCCCTCGTTTAGGTGAGAGGTAGAACGTGGATGATCGTCTATGTCTCAAGCAACAGTGCACATTAAGGTACCAAGGACTGATGTTGAAAATGCCCTGTCAATGCTTTGGTAGTATTGTAAAACAGATACCAGAGGTGACGCCTGTGGAAGTAGACGATTTTAACAAAGGCCGGATGTTGGTTACTCGCTCTACTGCTGACGAGTTTTGACGGCCTTCATGGTGTGGTGGTGCAGTGTCTTTTGTGTCTTATGCTGGTTAACACCAGAAAACGACGTAGATTGTCATGTATGAGTTCAGCTTACATGTCTCTGTGTGTGTTCTTAGAACTGTTGTCACTTGCTTATCATTTCAATCTAAGTCCCTTTATGCCATTAGGGACCAGTGCAGGCGAACCTAATATGTCATTTGTATGTTTTTATCAAGCCTTCTTTGTTCTGAAAATATCTTACCTTTAGGCTGCCAGTTGGTTCCTTTAAATGAGGATGCCAGACGTGTTTTGGCTGTATCTGTTATGAGAATGCTCAGAATATGATATATGTGGGACTTCAGTCTCACTCTGTTGAGCATGAACACTTGCAATGTAAAAAAAAACAGGACATGGTGTGTTTCTTGCTTCTGTCAATTGTAATTAGCTATGTCATTGGTTAGGTTGATCATCACCTATCATCCTCTGCCTGGTGTCATTCTTCCCCTCATGGCTCCATCATCTGATGTCATCCCTCACGTGGTGCCGGTCCCCGCCTGCCGGATCTGCCGTGGTCTCCGTCGACCTCCAACCACACTTACCCCTCTGCTCCGGGGCCTCATCCGTCTCCACCCAGTGCCTAGCGTGCCTAGCGGCACCCATGCAAAGTCTGGCCTGACCCGGTCTGCCGGCATTGCAGCGGCAACTTCGGCATCCTGCCGAACCATGTGCCGGTGCTGGCCGTGCTGCAGCCGGGGGTCGTGTCGGTGGTCGAAGCCGACGGCGCCACCAACAAGTTCTTCGTCAGCAGTGGCTCCATCACCGTCAACCAGGACTCTTCCGTACAGGTAACCCTCATCGCTCGTGACGGCCGCCGGGTGGTTGCGTGAGGTTCTCATGGAAATATTGTTTTAACTCACTAATCTAAATTTATTTAAAGCTTGGTAAGCTCTGAATTCATTGTGTCCTTCAACAGAAACGCTTGCCCTAAGAGCGAATGAATACATCACGAGAGTCGATGTGGGCAACTCTTTACGACTCTGTTTTCTCGCATATTGTTGTACAACCACGATTGGTTCACGTTGCTTTAAAGAGGTTACCAGCTGACCGCGGCCTGCGGTCTCCACTGACACTCGGCGCAGCCATATGGCCCTGCTGTCGACCCTGACCCCGACCCTGACCACGGCCCGGCCCCGTCCGCCAGGTGCTGGCCGAGGAGGCGGTGCCGCTGTCGGAGCTGGACTCGGCCGCCTGCAGGCAGGCGCTATCGCAGGCGCAGGCGCAGCTGGCCAGCGCCAGCGGCGACCAGGCGCGTGTCGAGGCGCAGATCGCCGTGGAGGTGGGCGAGGCGCTGGTCAAGGCGTGCGAGTGAGCCGCGCCGCCCGCCGGTGGTGGGCTGTGAGGGACGCTGTTGCCGCGTGAGAGTGGAAGGAAGATCGCTACGTGAAGTGGAGGGCCAATATAATGTGTGGTAGTAGAGCACGCGCGTTTTATCGCATCAGCTGTGTACTCCGCTGAAGTGAGGAATGGCGCGAGGTTATGCGGTTTTTTTCCACGTGATGCTCGTGTATTGCAACGGATTGTAGTCCGACGGACTGCATGAAGGTGCAGTACCCCCACCGAACAATGTCACGCGAACACGGACTGAACACGATGACCTGGGAGCGGAGACATGCCAAGCATTTGTGCGATAGACACTACGGAGCTGTGGGACAGGTACACAAGTTTAACGAGACAGATGTTTACATTTTGGCTAAAACCATACGAAAGTTGTCTTTTCAAGACAAGCCGGTTCGACGAAGTTCGTTGTAATCTGCCTGTGGAGCTTAAACGCTACGTTGGTAATCTGCGAGATACTCTTGTGGTCATACGGACAGGGTTCTCATCCCGCTAACAGCACATCCCAAGGGAACCCTTCACTTCAGGGTGAGAGGGCCGGCTGTGCTGCGCCAAAGCATGATGTCCCCATATTCTGCGCATGCGCCGCCCCTCCCTCAGTGCGTGCATACCAGCACCGTGTGTTCGTAGGCGGCAGTTATCCCGAGTGAGCCGTTGTTGACACCTGCCCACAAGCGATCTGACAAGAAGCGAGTCCCGTCGTCCGCTCCCCTCACTGAGAGACAGACTGTGACCGGGGCGCGCGCCGGCTACTTGTAGCGCCCGCGCGGGCTGAAGTCGACGTCCATGTAGACGGTCTCGGCGCCGTAGCCGTAGGGGGTACGCAGCGTGGCCAGGCAGCGGTAGCGGCCGAAGTCGGACGCCCGGTAGTCCCGGATGTACAACGTCGACCTGCGGCGGAGACGGTTCGGTGTAGGCGTCGGCGCCACGCCGGTCAGAGTCGCCCGCCGTTAGCCATTGCGGCCGCTAGGTGTCGCTGCCGCCGCACCTAGCTGCTGCAGGCCCGGTCAGCCGGACTGCTCTCCGTGTTTTTCGACTAGGTTAGATCACTCAGGAGCGGGTGACGTGATGACCCGGATGGTGGCTATTAAAGGCCAGTGGTCCGGACGACGTTATAGTCGTGTCATGGCGTCATGAGGAACGCAGGTGCAATGCGGTGCAGTCCACAGCTCACGATGTCAGTTTGTACGTGCCGCTATTGGCCAGCTGAACGCCGCGAGACGATAAGTTAGGAAGATGGAAGGAAGGATAAGTTGTGCACGTCCGTGCTATGTTATAGGTTTGACAGACTGCAATATCATTCGACCACCTAGGCCACCTAGGCCTCGACCTAACTCCACATTGACTATGCAGATACTCGAAAGCACCTGTGTTTAATAAGCATGCATAAGAATGAAACAAAACGTCACTGTAGGCTCTGTATGCAACGCGTGCTTGCAAACTGATCCGTATCGCTTGGTGTCCAGGGATACCTGCTGGCGGTGACATGCTCCGTCAGTTGTCGATGTTGCCACTTACTTGGATCCCTGCGTGTAGACCCTGGTGCTGGCATAGTAGCGGTCATCGGAGTACCAGTCGTCGTAGTTGCGGCGGCTGCGGCCGTACCCGCCGTAGTGGTCGTAGTGGTCGTAGGAGCGTCCGCCTCGGTAGTCGTCATAGACCTTCACCCACACGATGTTCTGCGGGGGTGTGACGTGTGAACAACGCACACCGGTCGGTGTGAACACACGGATCGGTTCCGACATGGCACGTAATGACATCTTTTCGCGCACATCTTCCTGTATGCACTGCACGGCTGCGTATACTGGCTTTATTTCACCCGCTGTTTTCAAGTCAGTTCACCTGTCCTGTTTCATGCTTGATGCTGGTAGCATGACAAACTGATTGAAATCCAAACACTTCAAGACTTCCAACGACAAGCACAGCTTTGTTCGGTGCCTGCCTGAGTGCCATTATCCACAAAGGCAACCGATACCTGTGCAGGCTGCAGATTGGGACTTTAAACGGAGGCCTCGTGTAACACACTCAACCCAGCCCAGCCCAGCGCACCCGCCGCAGCGCCGCCCTTCTCACCGAGAGCGGGTCGCGCACTCCGCCGTCCCGCAGAAAGTCGCAGACCAGCTCGGCGTGCCGACCGCTCACCAAGTTGTAATAACCTTTGCCGACCTGGCGACCCTTGGCCTGGCTCCTGTAGCCGTAGCCGCCCAGGTCGGGCCGGTAGTAGTCGCCGTAGCAGTCGCCGATATAGTTGTAGCGGTCGCGGCAGTAGTAGCGCCGCTCGCCGTACACGCTGACGCCGAACTCGTCGGCCGACGAGGTGAGCAGCACGCTCGTCAGCAGCAGCAGCAGCCGCGTCATCTCCGCTTCAGCTGGGGGCAGTCGGAGGCCGTAGGAGAGCACGCCGCATGCGGCTCAAGATCGGTTCAGCACGCACTGAGGCCGGAGTGACGTACTCCTGGACCGGTCTCTTCGTCTCCGGAGCCAGTTACCGAATGCCTCCTCGCCTCGCGGGCCGCGCAGAAATAGATGTAATCGTTGGGCGTGCAATGCCACTTGACAAGGCCTTGAGCCAGGCGCCGTTCTGCTGTGTTCCCCTGCGGTGCCACCCAATTACGGACAAGGAGTTGGCGGCGAAGCTGATTGGCCGGAGCCGTTCCGCTCCGGAGCGCCGGGGCCGCGCCCGGAGGAGAGCGGACAGCCAGCACGGCGCTGCTCTTAATGTGTGCTGGTGTGTCCGCCACGGTCCAGCGGACAGCAGCTTGGCGAGACATGGACCGCGCGGCTCAGCTGGCAGGATCACGCTTCCCGACAGAGGATCATGGGCTTCGGAACTTCGGTGGGGCCCGGAGCGCGCTAGGACGTTCCGAGACAGGATGATGGCCGTGGTCGGGTGACGTGGCGCTTGTCGGACACGCGGCTCGTCTTTCGGAACCGGTGGCGTCCGGAGCGCGCTAGCACGTTCCGGGACGGGACGATGGCCGTGGTCGGGTGACGTGGCGCTTGTCGGACACGCGGCTCGTCGACGGCGCCACCAATTGTCGGACACGCCCTGGGCCGCCGACGCATTAAACAGGGCAATTGGGGCGTTGACACGCTGGGGATTTCGATCGCTTTGATGGTTCCGACCCGTTCAAACGGCCCGTCGCGTGCGGAAAGCCGTGCTATCCATGCATTTCACCTGTGCCAGTGCCGGGCGCTGGGCGAGACTGGTAGACATCAGGGTGATGAATATATGCCCGCGGGATGCACATCAGACACGCGATTTTTCAGTTGGAGGTCATCTGGGATGGAATCAGTATCGGTAGAAAGCCCCTAGCGGGCAGAAGTGTTGAGGCTCGTTCAGTGCCGACTGTAGACAAGCAGGTGATGCAGCTAGGCCAACAAACAGAAAAGTCTTATATTGATCTGAACTTTCCACCGGTGGTATATAAAGAGGCGGTACTGTCGTCTCCGAGGCGACTGGGCAGTGGGATAAAAATGATGTAAGTGTTACGCCTTTGGGCTATATTTGCACTGAGGTTGCTGGCCGTTGTTACGAACGTGCGTCGTCCAGAATCAGATGTCGCGGTGTTCTCGAGAGTCGGGTCAGAATAGCGTTGAAGATTATGGTGTTTACGTTCCAGTCCGTGGGCGGGTGACATGTTCCCTCAACTGAGCGAACCCTTGACACAGTCGCGACGCCGTCACGTAGCCATGACTCAAACACGTGCCGGTTGTAGGACGTGCCCTCCTCGCCATCCCGTCTTTTTGAGCCGCTTGTCACGAACCGGCTGCTATGGGAGGGCGCTCTTGGAACCTAGCAACATACTTCGCGACCTGACGCTGAGAGGGCGGTGAATACCCTGGGACGGTCGAAGCGGAGCAAGATATAACACTACGCAGTGAAGCTCAGAAGCAGTGCTTGGAGCGGTTGAAATGGCATGATTCCGTACGGCACAACCTTAGTGGTCAGAGCATAATTCAGGAGTGACTAAGTTGTGTAGCCTAATATTTGCTGGGTATCAGGGATTAATGACCATTTGCCACGCAAAAATCTCACTTTGGGTGCGCCACCACAAGTCGTGGAAAACTAAGCATGCCATCGTGTATGCCTTCTTCCTGCCGTCACTGCTACTTCGCCGAATTGAACACCGGCCAAACGTGCCGGTTGGGGTCTACCACCCAGCCAGTCAGCTATTCGGTGGATGTGTTCCGTATGTCGCTTCGTTCCGTCTGCTGTTCCGGTATTTCACCTCCGGTTCACTGATACACACGGTGCGCTCAAAGTCACTTCTGTATTTGACGCTCGTCACAGGCACTCCACACAGTCCGTCCTGCTGTCGCGCGCGTCGTCGCGCCGGCGGCTCTCCAGGTTTTCTCTTTTTTACTCTGTCCTATCCTCGCCCTCACAGCTGCCTCCCTCGCACAGGGCGCCTGGGACAGGAGGGGTGGAACGCGAGCGCCTCTAAGCGGCGCTCGCCAAACTACGCAAACATTCATCGGCAAACATCCACCAGCTGCCACACAGGCGTTCTCTGACACCTTACAGATGCATGGGGAGAACGCTCGCACCGGAGACGTAACATGCGCTCGGGGCGGTCAATCTGATCCCTGGTTTCCGAACGGCATGACGTAGACGCGTCAAATTTGGCATAGCTGTAGGCAATTAAACAGAGGATCGTGCAGTAAAATTTAGATGCACCCTGTAAGGTCGCTGACCTGCGGCAGGTCAGACTTAGGTCATGGATTCAGCGCAGTCAATTTCAGTCTGATGCAACAGCGGAGTGTTGGACGAAGCCATACGTCTCTAAGATGCTTTCGTAGGCAACACAACAATTGCATGAGCAAATTAGGTTGGCCTAGGGTTAGACATGGACTTAAGACCAAGGTCAAAACCAACCAGCTTCATTGCTCCGGGGCTTGCTATATGGGACAGTTTCTGGCGCTCGTTTCGAATTTATTTATAACAGGAACCGCCTTATTTGTTTTCTATGGACTTCTTTAAGGTCTTAATAGGGTACTGACCTAAAATGACCCAGGTCAACATTTTGCTATTAGGAACATACTGCCTAGCGTGATCTTTGTCGTATGTTCAAATGCAAAACTCAAGGCAGTCTTATATGATTTTGGTCACTATGATCTTCGAAGGGCCAAGCAAGGTCAATGGCCTTAAATGAGCATGCGACCTTTTGCTTAAAATAGGTATCTGGGTTCTAAGGTACTGTGGAGACCAACCTGGAGTTTGACCTTGTTTGACCTTATTTGATTCAAAGGTTATGACCCAGGAGCCTCAAACTTTGACCTAAGTGAGTTACGTACAGGTTAACACACCCTTTAAATTTGGTGTTTCTGGCTAACTTAGTTCCTAAGATCTCAGCAGGCCCAATCGATCCCCACCCGAGAGAATGGTATCCAACCTGCCGACCGGGCGCGTGTAAATCCGTAGGCGGGACACGGCTATTTGTGGCGGGGAGAGCACTGGGGCACGATACCCTCAGTGGACTTGTGAATACGGGCTTAATTTATTAAGTCTCATACGAGTGGCCTTTCCGTATTTAGTATCATTCGTCGCTGAAGGGCGTTTTGCCGCTCACGCGCACATGTATGCAATACAAGCGAATGATAAGACATGCAATTTGTCGTACTTCATCCGATTGTTCATACATAGACGACAGTATTTTACTCCAGGGTAGCGGTGGTCTTGATGTCGTGTATATTTGCTGGTTCGAAATGTGTGATGAGGTTTTGACGCTCGCCGATAAGAACAATGGCGAATCCCATATTTTCCGTTAGGTGCTTTTTATGGCATCGATAACAACTGGTACTTGCTATTGCCCTCAGTCCTTTTTAAACACGTCCTTTCGGTCTTCGCTAAGCCTGCGTTTTAGGGTGTGCCGCCTTGTATTTGCATGGCCGCCACCATCCGCATGTTCAGACGCCCGCCACGTGCCGGCATGCTGAACTGGGCCAGGGTCTTTCCACCTTCCGGTCCCACCCGTCTCGCCCCATGTTTGTGTTTTCCATGTCTCATTCACGTCCATCGCGGAACGTGAGCTCACTAATATGTATACTTTATCAACATGCCACATGCTCGCTGCTTTATGCATCACCGTAAATTCCAATAATACAGGACAGGTTCTTGCTGCACAAAACTGTATGCAAGAGCTTTCCAAAAGCGGCGGCATTATTGTCAATCTTGAACGTTATGTCCTACCCAATACAGCGTGTGGATCTGTGGTATGTCACGCGCTTGCGAAGATGTACCTCAGCTTGCGAAAATATGCATAAGCTTGCGTAGACGCGCCTAAGCTTGCGAAGATCTACCAAATCTTGCGAAGATCGCACTATGGCATGACCGGACCAGAGCGCGTGTGTTCATGACGAACGGTGACGCGATAGTCCTGTCAAAGATAGTCATGCCGCGATAGTCCTGGTCTGGTTCGTCCGGCCAGGGGCCATTTCGTCATAATGTGACGGACGCCACCCGAGTCTCGTGCCTCGATTGCGGGCAAATGTGAGGCCCCGGCCGGCCAGCGCGTCCCATCACGGCCGGCTGGGCGGCCAGCGGCCCCGGCCAGCCCCGAGCCAAGGCCAGCCGACAGCCGACCGCCATTGACACCGGCGGCAGGACACACCGGCTGACCACCGTGTCACGCTCTTGACCCACGCCTCGGCCCTGCCGGCGCCGCGTCCAGCCAGCGGTGACGCCCCCTGCCCCCAAATAGTGGCCCCCACCACCGAACTGGCGGGTCCACCTCCGCCCCTGCGGCATTGTGCTGCTGTTGTCTGCTCTTTTGTTGGCGGGTTCGACGCGGCATTGACGCGCCAATGAAAAGCCGGCGAGCGGTGTCATCATAGTGGCGTATTTCACAATGCAGGCGGCAGGGAGCCAGCATTAGCCATGAGCCGTGCACGGAAATGCCGTTCGAGCATAGCTCATAGTCCACCAGCCCACAGAGCACAGATCAAGACATGTGACCCGCGTAGGTAGGAAACGTTTGGGTATGTAGCCACGTGCGGCCGGGTGACAATGATTGGATATGCAATATGTGTCCACACGTGCGGCCCGGTGACAATGATGGATATGTAATATGTGTCCACACGTGCGGCCCGTTGGCAATGATTGGATACGTAATATGTGTCCACACGTGCGGCCCGGTGACAATGATTGGATATGTAATATGTGTCCACACGTGCGGCCCGGTGACAATGATTGGATATGTAATATGTGTCCACACGTGCGGCCCGGTGGTAATGATTGGATATGTAATATGTGTCCACACGTGCGGCCCGGTGACAATGATTGGATATGTAATATGTGTCCACCCGTGCGGCCCGGTGACAATGATTGGATATGTAATATGTGTTCACGCGTGCGGCCCGGTGACAATGATTGGATATGTAATATGTGTTCACGCGTGCGGCCCGGTGACAATGATTGGATATGTAATATGTGTCCACACGTGCGGCCCGGTGGTAATGATTGGATATGTAATATGTGTTCACGCGTGCGGCCCGGTGACAA